TGCTCAGTAGAAGGTTTTCTGTTTTTAATCAAAGATAAGCGCATGTCATCCAAAAACACAGAAAATCACTATGAGCTTCAGATAAAATCAAAGCGTAGATACCATTTTTTAATATGTTAATAATATATTTCTAATATGTTTTAAATGCATTCCGGACCATATAAGACTTTTATGAAATCCTGGAACCAAAGACATTCACTTTCTTTGACCTTCTTACCTCATTGGAAAAATAAAAGGGATAAAAAGATTTAACCCTTTTTGTGTTTTTTGTGTTGTGTCCCGTTCCATAACAGGATGGCAACACAGTATTTCCCCCACTTTTCTCTCTGTTGGAATGAAAACATTACTTGCCTCCTGCATCCCTGATTCTTGTGTAGCTGAAAAGACACAAATCTAGCTTTCCATCTCCCTCTTTTTTTCTCTCTGTCCAAAGGAGTCTCAGCCTGTCGTTACTCTGAGGACGGAGAGGAGATAGCAGGACTCTGTCAAACAAACTTGGATATTTGGGCTCTGGAGCCGTCTGGATCCCGGCCCAGGCTACATCTCAGTGTAACAGCACATAAAAGGAAGATGTTGCTTGCCAGGTTCAATCGGGCTCTCCAGGGGAGGATAATAGAACCGTTTCTTTAGGCTTTCTCCCAACAATGTTCGCAGAGGGGAAAGAAAGGGGGCTTGAGAAATCTGCAGGCGGGCAAAACAGGTGATGCTGGTGAAAACTAAACTGGCTTTTCCAGGTCTTACTTGCAGTGCTGATCGGAGTGTTGGATGGAGGAGACTTGAAGAAAAATGAACTTCACATTCCTGGGATGCTGTAGAGATAACCAGATTTTAGACCTTCTCAAAGCTCCGAGTTGTCCAGCAGACATCCAGTATGTCAGCTACTTCTTTAAGTAGACAGGTGAAGATGTGAAAATTAAGAGAAAACCACTGACAGAACTATAAAAAGGAGTCTGTTTTCAAATCAGAAAATCTTCTAAAGTCTAGAATTCTCAAACTATATAATGTAAGTAGAATTTAATTTAATACACTTTAAGCACGAACATGAGCAAAATTAGCATGAAATTAACAACTATTTGCCTTCGCCCTCTGGTCAAGCATTGTTGACCAGAGGAGAAAACGACAAGCTATGGCACATGGTCCTCCTTGATGATCCCATGAGAAGAAAGAGATGTGTCGTATTAGGTTACAAAAACTGTTGGCTGACACAGTTATCTTCCCTCATAATTAATTCTCTCTGGTAACAGGGTCTCTCATGTGGTGAGAGAAGATACTTTTGGAAAACAACTTTTGCAATATTTTTGCAACCTTTGTGCTGCTCGCTCAGCACTCCTCTCTCCTGGTTTTGGCTCTGGATCAGCAGCAAGCACAGCGCCTGTTGCTTCCTGTGTGAAAGCAGCCAAATAGGACCAGCAGGCCTCATGAGCGTTGCCAGGTTGTCTAATTATGACATCAAACCACTGCTTGTATTTTACCTCCTTGGTTCTTTAGTCAATTTATTTCTTTGATGGAATAATGACAAGTTGAATGCTAGTACGTGGGGGGCCAGTGGGGGAGCTGCTTAAAAAACTTACCTGCCAAGTTCTGCCTTATAAATTGTTTTTACAACCACCATCTTTAAGCCAAACAATACATCATAGCATGGCTCACTAGCAACTTCTAAACCTTCTCTTTCTCTCTTTTGTCAAAATGTATCCAACCACTCTAACTTTATCTGATGCTCCTTACTTGTCCAAAGCCAATTGTTTTGGATATCTGACTGCTGATTTCAAACTATAAAGTGAATTTATCCACTTTATAGCTTGAGTATTCCACCTGTCTTCCTCTCATCCAAACCAAATTAATCTGTCTTGCTTTCATTCTCTACTCAAGGCTTTCCTGCACATGACCCTTACTCTCAATGTATGTAACAAAATCATTTGCAAACAACATAATCCATGGTTTCTCCCGGCTGATGTCGTCTGTTACCCTGTGGACAACTGTTGCAAACAAGATGGGGTACACGGTTTGTTTCCATTGTTCTCTACTATGTTTTTAAGCATTATGTTGGATTACTTAACGATTTATGACACTACGTTGTCATATAGTTAAAGTTTATACGTTTAAATAGGGTTTAAGATATCACAAGTGATTGTCAAAACTGAAAGTATCCTGCTGATGCTACAAGAAAAGGAGTGGAAACTATTTATACAAGCGTTTCCTAAACTTTATTGAATAAGACCCACTTTACTGCTTGTTTTTTCATTGCTACCATTGTAGTAAGCATTTTAAAGCAGTAGTACCACAGGGCCTGGGCAATGTCATGAAAAATTATTAGCCTCCATTGAAAAAATGTTCGATTAAAAAGAGTTTGTAGAAGTTGGAATTCAAAGTGGAAAATTCTAAAGGTTTACCATTATTCTTGACGGAAATGTCCAATATGGATACCTCGTAAATTGCGATAGGTCCTGTGAAAAGTATTATATTTGCATGTCAAATTATTTCAATCTTTCACAGACACATTATTTAAAGATCTCATTTAGCAGAGATTTTGCTAGACTATTTGAACGTCCAAGATGAAGAAACATGCCATGCTAACAACTTGTATTGCTGACAGTTAGTCTGGTAAGTGAACATAATCATTAACAAATCGCATAGTTTGGAAAGTTGAACTGGAAGATGATCAAGTTGGATTTGACATCATCCTGAATATTTAAGTTCCAACTTAGCAGAACAGCATGTTTAGACGCAAGCATTTGTCTGTGGTTTGCTCTTGTCCACCTCAGTTCATACAAACTCTTTTTATGTTTTGATGAAAATATCTCAACTGGGCTAACTATGTTATTTGCAAACACAAAATGTCTTTTTTGCTCCACTAGTGGAAGTTGTATGACAGAACGGTGGCCTTAAACATTTCTTCTTTCAGCAATTGTCTTATGCTTTGAAACACCAGTTCATTTCTTGTGGGCAATAAAAAGTGCAATAGATAAAAACAGAGTGAAAAGGAAACTCAAACAAAATAGACCGCCTTTTTTTCTCCAGCTTACAGTCTTTTACTTTGGTGTTTCCAAATTGTTATTTTTACTCAAAATAATAATTCTTCCACCACATAAAGTGAAACGAGAAGATAAAAATAAATTAGCAAATTGCTTTTTTTACAGCTAAAAACAAATACTTGTATTCAGTGAATATAACCTATATTTTCTCGCTATATGACACTGAATTAGAATAAACATTTCCTGTTTTAGGTCATATCGGTTCACCTAAACCCATTTGCTAAATACCAGGTTAACAAGTGGTGAGATATATATATATATATATATATATATATATATATATATATATATATATATATATATATATATATACCAGGGAAGAACTGGAGAGGGCCTGGAAGGTGAAGACCACAGTGGTGCCTGTGGTCATCGGGGCCCTCGGGGCAGTAACCCCCAAACTGGAGCAGTGGCTACAACAGATCCCAGGAACAACATCAGACATCTCAGTCCAGAAATGTGCAGTCCTTGGCACAGCCAAGATACTGCGCAGAACCCTCAAGCTCCCAGGCCTCTGGTAGAGAACCCGAACTCAGAGGATAAGAACCACCGCGGTGGGTCAGAAGGGATTTTTTTTTTTTTTTTTTAATTTTATATATATATATATATATATATATATATATATATATAATATATATATATATATATATATATATATATATTGATAGGTCCTGTGAAAAGTATTATATTTGCATGTCAAATTATTTCAATCTTTCACAGACACATTATTAAAGATCTCATTTAGCAGAGATTTTGCTAGACTATTTGAACGTCCAAGATGAAGAAACATGCCATGCTAACAACTTGTATTGCTGACAGTTAGTCTGGTAAGTGAACATAATCATTAACAAATCGCATAGTTTGGAAAGTTGAACTGGAAGATGATCAAGTTGGATTTGTATTCAGTGAATATAACCTATATTTTCTCGCTATATGACACTGAATTAGAATAAACATTTCCTTTTCTTGTTTATATATGTTTATATATATATATATATATGTATATATATGTATATATATGTATATATATATATATATATATATGTATATATATATATATATATATATATATATATATATATATATATATATATATATAGATATATATATATATATATATATATATATATATATATATATATATATATATATATATATATATATATATATATATATATATATATATATATATGTATATATATATGTACATACATATGTATATGTATATATATGTATATATATATATATATATATATATATATATATATATATATATATATATATATATATATATATATATATATATATATATATATATATATATATATATATATATATATATATATATATATATATATGTGTGTGTGTGCTCCTGACAGAAAAAGAGTAAATGAATCAGGTGCGTAGGCGCATAGGCTGCGTTTCTCAGAAACATTTTTCAAATGTTGTCTTCCGGACATGCTGGCCAATATAAGCCATGTGTTTGTGTGCATTAAAATGGATTGTGTTGGCTGCCAAGTGGTTAACCAACAGTGTTTCCTCTACATGGAATGGAGTTTATTAGGTCATTTTCTACATAACCTATGACTTTATATGTGACTGCTGTAATTAAAGGTCCATTGTGTCATAAAAGCCTTAAAAGACATATAAGGTGTACCTAGTTTATCAACTCAAATTAATTAAAATCATGTGGGCATTCAATGCAGTGTATGCACTTCTGATTTTAGAGATAAAAAGAGATACCTCACTTCTTATCCTGGCATTTAAAGGATGAAAATAAAGTTTATGATCTTAACTCACCTAAAACAGGAAAGGTTTAGTCTGAGTTACTGTCAGGTAAAGAAAATAAAGAAATGATCCTTTGTCTTTTGGCAGCGTCTGTGTCATTGTCTCCTGCTGTCAATAAAGTTTGAATTTTCCCGCCATTGTGATGACAGCGTAAGCTTGCGCGCGAGCGGCACGTTAGTTTAAGCTAGTTTATTAATTGCTGCGTCATTCACTAGTTTGACAGGGGTTGGTGGTTTGTAGCGACTCGTTAATAAAACCGACTGCAAAGAAAAGTGAGCGGGAGTCATTTTGTGTTCGAGAGGCTTAATTAACATGAATGTTACGTGGTGTTAGCATTATAGTCTGCGGAGGAGAGAACAAACTAGTCTCCTGTTTGTTCCGTCGACCTGCCCGAGTCATGTAAGTTGGTAGGTGAAACAACAACAATGGCGAGCACGGATATTGTTTATGAGCAGGTTCACTTCAGACATGACCCAAAGTGGAGCGTCCGCCTGCGGGCTGCTGAGGGCGGCGGGCTGCTGCTCTGTGTGGCCTGTGCTATTGAAATGATGGAGACGGAAGAAATGGCCGTAAGTATCGCGCTGTTTATGTCAATGGCTACCCCTCCCCAACTTACAGTAGCGATATTATGACTTTGTATTCAAGCCTGAGCATTTCCACCTCCGTAGCTGTCAGGTTAATGCCCTGAGTGAAGTTGCCCCGCCCCACCTTCTTCAAGTCTGACAAAGTTGGTGTCAAACGTTTGTGCTGCGTTTGTGCACCAAAATCTTTCGTTTGTGCTGCTATCATTTTAAAGATGTAAAGAAATGTTTCTGGAGGTCATTAAAGGTCAACCAGCCCCCCACCTTCAAATCAAATGAAATTGGTGTCAATTAACTCGACTATGTTTGTGCAGCAAACATTTTCTTTTGTGCTGCTTTGGATTTGAAGATATTAATGAAAGGTTAAAGGTCAACCAGGTCCCTCCCTCCTCCCCCCAACACACACACACACACACACACACTTTTATGAAATCAGACAAAATTGGTATCAAACGTTTGCACAAACAGTAACATTTCTTTATATCTTTGACATGATAGCGGCACAAACAAGAGTTCTTTGCTGCACAAACCTTTGACACCAATTTTGTCTGATTTGAAGAAGGTGGGGGGGCCAACTTCACTCAGGTCATTTAATGCACTCTACGTGTTTGTTGCAGTCGGTGAGGAAATGTTTTGCCTTGTCGAGTATAAGTGGCATCCTGAAGAGCTCTGCAGGGGCCTTGAGAGAGCTGTTTCGACAGGACCACAGAGTCACTCTGCATTTTATTACCACATTATTAGGTGAGGAAAATATGCACCAGCACACAAGAGGGCAAAGGAAGGTATTGGAAGATTGTTCAAGAAACTTAGAATTTATGTTTTCAAAGGAGATACGATGATATAACCCAGTTTATTGTCTCAGTTAATTTAAGCACTCTACATAACAAGAATAGCAGAAATGAAACAGCAGGAAAAAATAAAACTGCACCATGTAGATAAAAAAAAAACATATTTGTCATCTCTCTGAAGGACAAGTTGTTTATCCACCTTTGGTGCTTTTAGTTTTGAGTATTTTTAAGCTACAGAACAATACAGCGCCTCGCAAAAGTGTTTATGCCTCTTGAACATTTTCATCACACTACAGCCCACACATCTCAATTGGTTTTTATGTTTTATTGTGACAGAGAAGTACGTAACTGTGAAAGTGGTGGAAATGTATTGTGAAAGTTTTCAGCACATATATTTTGAAAGGTTGATATTCGACTTCTTAAATATAGTCTACCTGGGCAATCTCATTATGAATACAGTTGCTACAGTAAAGTATGGCAAAACTAAAATCACTGAGATATATCAAGTTGAAAAAAAAAATTATGAATCATAATTGAACGGCTAAAATGTGCAACATTTTGTTAAAATAAGATTCAGAAATTTGTTGACAGCCACTCAGTCCATGTGCAGTTTAAATTATTATCTCCAAATAGTACTCTAAAAATAATTATAAATTGCTAGCCAAGGTTAAAAGCAAGCCTGCTTCATTGTGCACAAGATTGCAATGATGGCAAATTATTCAGATTCTCTTTTCAATACTTGTGGAGTTTATGCCCTTCCTGTTTCTCAGGTATGCTTCAAACTGAGGAGAACCCAGTCACGGTGGAAAAGGTTGACCAAGGTGAAGGGATTCCTGTTTATGCTTTGGTTATGTTTGTGTGTTTCTCCATATGTACTCGCATACAAATGCATCAATATTGCTTGTGGATATACACGTTGTACCCACATCTGAACTCCTATAAACATAAGGACAGACTTTATGTTCAACCATGCAGGGTCACCGGCAGTAAATAAGGTGACTTGTCTCTATTTTTACACATTTGTTAGAACAATCTGCAGGTAGATATTTGTACATTTTAGCTTACTGGAGAGTTGAAGTATTTTTTTTTCTTTTCTAATTTTGTGATCTATGCTGTCATCAGTGTTCACACTTCTCCATACCCATAAACCCTTTTGTCTTTTAATGAACATATAGTATTAAACCAACAGATTTTTGCAGTATGAAAATGTTTTTGTAAGAACTAATGCATAAATAATTTTATGGCTGCTGTCCCTGAATGCCTCAGGGACCGCTTTATTATAAAAGCTGGTAAAACCGTAATGACTGGATGTTCATTCCTTCTTTCCTCTGACATTTTTAAACTCATTTAACTGAAGACATAGCCATGAATGTAACATTAGATGTATTGTTAATGAAATGCTTCAAGCAGATCAAACATCTTGCTTGACAGCTAGAAACGTGTTAAATTGTACAACAGTCTCTTCACTGCTGTTTATTGAATGAATTTCTCTCTGATTCATGTCCGTGTGTGTGTGTGTGTGTGTGCCAATCAGTGCTGGTTCAGCTGCTCCTCGAGTTTCAGAATGAGCTGCCATTTCACTTTGTTCTGGATGAGGTCCACAAACAGGTAATCCAAACCCATTTATATTCTTCCAACAATGCTTGCACAGTGAGTGTAAAATTGCCGGGACAGGAACACGCGTCCTAAAGTTTTACACAACAATTCTGGAACCGATGTCACATCCACACCAGGCTGCTTCGGAAGCAGGGTTCTTGTCTTCGTCTCACTGCTGTTGTGTCACCTCAGGGTTGAGGAGATAGTCGAGCAGCATCATTGTGAAATCAGTTGACGGAGTTAAGTTGACTGTGCTGCTGAGGACAGGAAGGTTTAACACCTGGGAGCCTTGACAGGCCTCATAAATCTTGGATCTTAACTCGGAAAAATGGAAAAATGTTTCACGGAAAGAACTCCCTGCTTGGACTAGGAATTAGACAGTTGTCTCCTTTCTATCTTATCTGCACTAAATGTTAATGTCCTGCCTCTGTGTTTGAAGATTAGAGGCAACTTAGTAGCACTTTCAGTAAAACAAATGCTTAAAAAGAACATACTTTTCTACTGTAGTGTTGAGGGAATAGAAAAAATGCTAATTTCCTTGAGGAGATATAGAGATTTAATTAAAATGTAAAAGAGAGATGATAATTTTAATTTTTTTGTTTAAGGAAAAATCTATCCACGCCAACGTGACCATATGTGAAACAGATAAATTTCCACCAAATTGCTTGTGTCACTTTCTGCATGATTGTTCCTCCCCTTGTTTTATCCAGCCACATTAATGTTTTTAGCAGGACGAGATTCTTTAAGGCCAGCTTAAAATCACTATACATTTAATTTAAGTTTTTCTCTTTATTATCTTACGCAGCTGAACGGCCAGGTCAGTGTGAAGCGTCTCCTGCCGACGTTCAACTTCCTGGGGAACCTTGTGAAGACGGTGCCCAACGTGGCTCACAGCTTTATTACTCAGTACGGTAAGACCCTGCAGCTCAATTAGATTGTTCATTTAAAAAAAAGGCAGAGGGTTGCAGATGAGAAATTAGTTTTAGTAAGATTTTTTGTTAATACTCAAGACTCCAGAATCAATATATTATATAATATGTTGTTTGGCGATATGTTGTCAGATTGTGGAGTAAGAATGTGTTAAAGATCTGTCTAATCATACATAATGTGTTTACTTAATGGTAAAAGCTAAAACTAGCTTTACTCTACAAGCTACACTCTAAAAGCTGCTATAGAAAGTACGGTAAGATAAAGTAGACGACCAGATAAAGTAGCTTTTATATAGAAATAGGTAGGCATTGCCACAACACAAGTTCCCGACATGCATCATGAGTGACGCTCAGCAGACCAATAGCAGTTTTATATTTGTTTGTTTAATATTCAACCATTGTTGGATTGTTTGTTTGTATTTCTGTGCCAGCAGTAAAACTTTAATCCTTTGGACAAATGTCTCCTGCAGTAGGCTGATGATTTTCTTCTCTGTGAGATTTACTTTCTGTCTTTAAAAATGCATGCATGTTGTGCTGATTTAGATACTACTCCACTGTTTTTATGAGTTTATGTTTTACCATTTCACCTTTACTTAATCACCCTTAATCCTTCTTAGATACTTTATTTTAGTTGAAAACAGACATAATGTATCAAAGAATACATGCTTTCCTGATGATATTGTGATATTCTAATATTTGCTTCAGGAAAATCAAATAATGCTGCTGGTTCACATTACTATTTACTATTAGGAATCATATGGTATAATGAAAACAATTTACATAATTATACCAGAATATACTTGAAGCCCATCTCTCTCTTTCTTTATCTTTCTTATCATCATGATGACCCTCCACTGTCCTGGAGCTTTAGCATCCTGACCACTGCTGTGAATCAGGTGTAAAAAAACTGGTCAAATATAGTATTGGCAAGCATAATGTGAATGCATAACACCTGAAATATATGTGGCCTACCCAATATTGATCCCGAGCTCTCCAGTTGCAATATTGCTCAATATATTGTCTGGCTCTAAGTAATCGCAGGAGATGATAAAGCATCTTGGTCTCATTGGTGATGTTCTTTTTACTGTTATAATTAAAAAAAATACTGGTCTTTCTTCAGTGTCTCTGTCTGGTTCAAACTAGAAATTAGATGAAGTTATGAATTGGTTAGACGTGTTTATGGTGTGCAAAAGTAGGAAATATCCTGAAGATAATCTATTTTTTCTTTCTAGTGATAATTATAATTAGCCCCTCTTTTCTTTCAAAACAAAAACTAAATGAAAGTTGAAAACTAAATTTATCTAACTCTGTGCCTTGCACCTGATTTTGGCCACTGACCGCCTGCTGTGGCATTGAGAAATTTCTCCTATCAGGGATGTGTAGAGTATCCACCAACAATAATAACACAACACAGTGGATTTGATGACTCCAGGTTTATTCAACAGGATACACAATTAAATCATTTCTTGTGTCGATGACCTCATAAAGTGACCTTTGCAGCTATTTGGAGTGTGATGGTATAAACAGTTAGTATTGTAATAACTGTGTACAAATCTGCTATGGATATCAATATTATATCAATTGTGTTTAAATTATGCAAAAGTGTTATTACAGGTGGAAATCATTCACTCAGACTGAAGCCAGCAGGCAAGAAATGCAGGGCAAAGATCAGTGGAACATAAACAGGGCACCAAGAGCCAGGCTGAAGAATCCAGCAAGGAGCGAAGGAGAGAAACATTAAATACTAGGAGCCTGATTATGATACAGATTATGAGACAATGGGCCAGTGCTAATTAGAAAGAGGGTGCAGCTGTGAGGAGAGAGCAGAAGGCAGACTGAGGGAGAGAGAAGCTAGGAGATAAATTTAAGAGTTAGATAAATTTGTTGTGTTTAGAGAATAAGCACAACAGATTAAACCTAAATGAATAAACAACTAAGAAAACATAAATAGTAAAGAGAGAAACTAAGGCTGATTACGAAAGAACAAGAAAATGAAAAAGCCAACACTGAAGAACCAAAACAAGTTAATTTATTTTCCATTTGTTGCTAAGCAGCCACAAGTTAAAGTCTGAATTACAGCCGCTCTTCTGTGATTACTTTATTACTAACCCTTGGAAACATTATCATGGTAATCGGAAACATTTTGCTGCCAAAACGTAAAAAAAAAGAAGCTACATTTCACTCATGTAATTTCCCTACTCAATACATTGGTGGATTTAGAGCTAGAAGATAGTGTGGTACAGTTTTGAGAGAGAAAGTATTGCACCTGGCCACCTTTCCCTGACATAACAGCGATTAAATCTCATTTTCAACCAGTTACACATCTGTCTGCTAATGGATCAGTTGCTCGCTCTGTCAGGGGGCATTGTTAGCCTATTCAGGCTTGTGGATGTTGTGAGGTGTTTCGTCATGGCCGACTGCTCGTCTTTACACTTACGAACAAAAGTAAGACCTATTCCAAAACGCTGGCATTAGAGCCATTATGTTTTCCGTTTTGTGACCACCTTCTGTCTGTATTCCTAAGCAGACACAGGTAGGAATGCTTTGCTATGTTGCTGATGTAAGATGTGGGCTGCCATTATTGACTGTGTGTATCTGTCTGTGGCCTGTCACTCGACACGTCTCTGTGGGCCTGTTTGGACTAACGACAGCAGCCAGGCAATGACAACAGAAGCCCAGCGCTCCCAGCGGATTTCATCCTTTTTCAGACGCTGCGTCTGCCTCCCAGCCTGTAAAATTAACTCTGTCTTCTGGCTCTGATGTCGTTCCCCTTCTCTGTAGTTGGTGGAGTCGTTTGAGATTGAGGAAAATAAACAGAGATCCTACAGAAAGGAATAAAAATTGATTTCAGGATATATTAATACAGACACACAAATATAGGAAGCACGTACATCCTTTCCTACAGTCTCTTGTTATTCCAGATGCCACTTTAGAAGCCAGCCCTCCTTAAGAATGTCTTCAATAATCCTAAAAATAAGCTAAAGGGACTGAAAAAAAATTGGACTATTGAAGTGCACGTAATGAATGGAGATTAATAAAAAAAAACTGATTAAAGCTGAAAAAGATGAAGGGAAAATGAGATACAAGAGATCAAGATGAAAAAAAGCTTCTTTTTTTTTTCAGAGTTACAGATAATCAAAGATTCAAATTTCATAGGCTTGTGGATGAAATACTCTAAATTTGACAAGAACATCAGTGAAGGGACACACAAATATCAAATATGGTTTTAATTGAGAAGAGCAACGAAAGGGGGTTCAAAATTATTATTAAAATGTGTTTTAAACAGTGAAGACCAGAAAAAATGCATTGCTCATAGAGCTCTAGCTAAATGAGGATTTCTCTGAATTTCCTTAAACATATCATAACCTCAATAATTTCTACATATAGCACTGTAACAACGCTAAACTTCAAATCTACATACACTTAAATCTTTTTTCTTTGCTCCATAAATATTCGCTTAGCAGCTCTGTTTGATGCAGCTTATTCAGAGGGGTAATATGAGTTTACTTTGTAGTTTCGCTTGTGTCATCAGCCCTCCTCCCCTACGATAAGATCATTAAGGCACACTCTAAAAGAGCAAGCCCCCAGCTTGGGAATTGCTGGTATTTACACTAGAAGTTGAGAGTTCAAAAGCCTTGTGAAGGGTCCAATTAAATATTCTGCAATGATTTGTACACAACAACAAGCAACACCTTTGAAAATGGCTCGCGAGGGTAATGGAGTGATATTTCAGAGCATGCAGCATCACAGCTTGGCAGCAAAGCATGGAAATAAACCTTTGCTTCCTCTGTTGACAAAGGAAAAATAAAGTCATTTGTTTATCCTTTCATGTTGTGCCGACAGCTGTGTTTATTTGTTGTGGAGTGTACTTTTTGAACAGCAGTGTATTACTGTCCCCTTTCTGAAGGTTTCACCGCTCTGTCTTCTCCCTCTCCCTCCCTTTTAATGCCTTAATGCCTGGCTCTCATCTTTGCTGCCTCATATTTCTTAGTTTAATCAAACATGTCCTCTCCAGGCTCACTTGGATTTTGATCTTGACAGAAGCAGCTGGCTTTCAGCTCCGCTCTTTGGCTCTGTCATCTTTCTTTCTTGTTTGCTACTTGCAGAGTCTGTGTTGACGTCTCCCACCTCTCTCTGCACTGCATAGATGATGTCTCTGTCCGCTGCCTTTGCTTGTTCTTTCTGGCAATGTGAAAGGCTGCCTTTTCTGGCAGCCTGCATACCTGGAAGTTGTGATCCAAAAAGACTCCCAGTCTGGTAGACATGGGGGGCTTTGCCCGTCCTACCCTCTCTCTCTATCCTGTCTGCTTTTTCAGTTCGTCTTTAAGAGAAGTTTTATTTCTGGTATTTGATCCTTGCCTTTTTGTAGTGCTATTAAAAGTATTATTATAGTTCCTCCATCATGCTGGAGTCTATACATCATGTTCAAGACTGGGTATTAAGACCTACATACAACAAATGGCTGCAAAAACGGTCAATTGTAAGCTCTGCTTTGTGGCTGGTGCATCCTCAGTCTGAGAGTTTGCTGTAAATGTTGTTAGAGAGGCAGCGCATGCAGTAACAGCCACATGCTCTGTCAGCACTATCACTAATCTCCTAAGAGATTTCTGCAGATAGCCAAAGGAAGGAGCACTAAAGCAGATGGCTTGTGGTAACTGTAGGACAGCACAAAGATCATCAAGCTAATCTACTTTGAAACATAATATTTACAAGCGTTTCTGTTTTCTGATTTGTATCTGTGAACTGCTCTTCAAAATGCTTGTTTTATAATGTAAAATATTATGTAACTTGTTCGTTACATTTGTAACACAACAAATGCAAATCTAATGCACAACTCTGTGGTGTGGTGTAGACTTTCATCAGGACAGGTCATTAGCAAAGACAGGTTGTTCTACAGATTAGCGCTACCAATGAGAAAGCTTGGAAATATTCATTTGACTTACTTACTCTTTTTTCAGTTTTGTCAATTACTTTTAACAATTTTTTCCCGTTGTTCATCAGTTCCCCTGCTGGATCACCTGTGCTCAGCTTTGGGATATCCAAACGAAGCACTGAAGACTTCAGTAGTGCATGTTTGGCTGCAGCTGATGCAGACATCTGGAGACGCCGGGATGCAGTACCTGCCCGTTGCCACTAGGGACAGATTATGCACCCTGCTGCTGCAGACGTTTAGCAACGCTAGCTCAGCGCAGCTCATTAAAAACTGTGCAGGTGAGAAAATATTCATATTTCTTGAACACAAGTTAGTAGTTCTCTGTCATTTAGGTTCACACACCTTGGACATTATTTTTAGGGTAAAATGCTGATGATTATTCCTTAAACAGTTTTAATAATATTCATAAACAATCATTACATTGAGGTTATTGTAAATTCTCTGTTTTTTATTACCTTCAACAACCTTCTAAGCTTAAAGGACCTGGTAGAGTAATTTAAGTTGGTTTGTGTGTCAGGATGGGTTTTAAGCGTATTTAACAAACGTTTATAGGGTAAAGGTATAGCTTTAGGAGATTCATTGCAGAAACTGATGCTAGTCTTCTTTTTCCATTCCAAAACGAGATTCATTGTCTGTCCTAACCTTGTTATTGCGCTGTGATCCTTACATTTAAAAGAAAACCATCATCACATAGCCATACTGGGAACTTGATTTCACTCCATTACTACTGCTGTTTATTCATGCACCGATCTCCAAGAAAGTTGACTAAGAGAGTACATGCAGGTGAGTTTTTCAGGGATTAGTCTCTTTGACAAAGTGCAATGGTGGGGAGGTAGGTATTGTAAATCCGGCCTGATACCTGCTGAAGGACAAGAATTTTAATGTTCGAAGACTCAAGGTAAGACCCAGAAAAGTTTGTTCCAGGACCCAACGAGACCTTGGGTAAGCAATCTGGATTATCTGAGGACGTTACACAACGAGAGCTTGATTATCGCAACAAAGGCTAACAATCAGGCACCAGGCGAGACCTGCTGGGGTCTTGATGAGATGATTAGACAGAGGGGAGTTAAAATCACAGCAGGAGGAGTCCGTTCCTTCTAGAGAATTAGAAACACAGGAACAGAAGCCAGGAAGCGAGAAAGAGGAGAGCACAGAAAACACAAGATCATGATAAGCAGCTGGCTTAAAATCGACATCTTCAAACTCCACTCAAATCTGGGTCCTTTTTTTTCCTTTTGGGAAAAAATTGCTATAAGATTGGACAAGACTTACATTGAGCAATTTAGTTGCTATGATAGAAATGCTAGGTAGGGGAAGGGATGTGTAACAGCAGCCTGGAATGAACTTCATAAATTCAACAATTTCAATCCAATTACAAATTGCTTTGCTTAAAAGCCATTTCATGGCAAGAAAATCATCCAATTTAATTAACTATCAAATATCCAGACAAAAAAAACCCTTCTGGGTGGCAACAAAAAGCTTCAAGTCAAGGTCTAACTTGCTAATGGATATTTAACCAGGCATATGCTTATATTCAATAAATTAGAGTATCTTTGAAATGTTAATTTATTTCAGCAACTCAGTTCACTCAGTGAAACATATAGATTTATTACACACAGAGAGATGTTTTCAAACCTTTATTTCTCTTAGTTAGGATTTCCCTCATATACCTAATGAAAACGTGACATTTAATATACATCAGATCAGTAAAAAATGAGCAGAAATTTGAGCTTAATAAAAAGTAGATTTAATACCGGCTTCAGCGTTATTTTCAAACGCTATTATTTATCTGACAATTAAGCGACATGGAAAGTGCATATTCAAATGTAAGTGCACCCAAGTTTTGTTCCCATAAGACAAAAAAACCAAAGTGGAGTCAATTCTTGTATCCAAATCAATGCACCTGTTTGTTTTATAGAAAAGTCAGGATTTAAACTTAAAATTAAAACTATTTATGGATCTGGTCACAGGAGATGATGCAGTACACTAGCATTCCTCTAGTTTCAAGTGCTAATGCTAACTCTTTAGTTTCAGGGTTAGGAATGTGTTCGTCATCAGTAATTTATGTAATGTCTAACATGGCCTGTTTTCCACTTGAGTTTGAGAAATGATGTGTAGATTAAATATTTTATCATAGTTTACGGACATTGGGATCTGTTTTGAGTGAAAATTTCTTATACTTTTGAAGCATGTTATCAGAGTCCCTTGTACCCTACGTCTGCTAGGCCTGCTCTGGCAGCTGGTCAAGTATGAAGAAGCCGTGTCGGTTCTGATGAGCAGCTCCGGCGGTCCGCTCATGTGCGACGCGAATGAGGACATCCTCACCAACAACAGCCAGGCCCTCATGCAAGACCAAGAGCAACAGCCTGCTGACCACAGCCTACTGCCTCTCCTGTTGAAAAAGGTCTCTGTCTAAACATCCTGCTCCCACTCCCGAGAGCTGAACTCTAACACTGACTATCATCATAACAACAAGCTCTAATCCCGGATTAATGCTCCTTTGAGCAGGGGTTCAGTTTGGGCTTTAGCCTATACAAATATTTGTGCTTCATGTCTGGGAAATCGATGTGTAGATTATATTTGGGTGGATGTTCTCAGTGGTTGCTCACAGTTCATGACATCAGCCGATATCTTTCAACCACCAATGTTTTGTATGTTTTGTGTAAATATTACTCTCAATATTCATATAACAGCACAGGTAATCCTACGAAATATGCTGTGATTTAATTCGTCCACGCCTACGTCAGCTGTGGTCAGATAATAAACTGTGTAAAACTGATGGGATGAACCCTACATGTCATTTCCCCCTTCAAATCAACTTGTGCGCTGCTGTTTGGAAACCTTAATTTCAGCATTTATGAATCTAAAAATCCCCAAAAGTTGCAAAATGAAAAGCTGATTCATCAGAAGTGAATGTTTTCTGCAGCTATGCTAAGTTGTTGATTCATTTTCAAACTACCAGGAGCCTCAGGGCTTCTGTGCAGCTTTACAAAATATATAAATGGAGTTTGCTTTCACTATTCTCCAGATGATTCTCCAGGATAAATATGTAAAAAGAAAAATAAGAGTTTATTCTATTTTCTGAAGGATATAAAATTCCTTAAGGTAAACTCTCTAAGTGATCTGAGTAATTTTCACTCTAATTATAAGTAATTAATGACGTCTTCAGTCAGTTGATCTTTCTAAATACTTATTACTTTAGAACTTATTTTTTAAATAAATGGAATAAGGCAAGGAGGGGGTTGTTTCCTCCTTAGCTGGACATGTTTTTTAAAGTTATTCAATGTTTTACGGTTGGCATTAAAACCCTGAATCTGATTTAATGTTGATTTATTTAATCTACAGTAATCAAACTATATGTAAAAAATATATATGTATAGTTTATGGTCCTTGTTTTGGAATGGAAATCAGCCTAGATATATTTGATGCAGACCAACGTTGTACTCTGGTGATACTTGCATATCTGATGGATCCCAATGAAAACATTAAATTTTTCAGTTGCTACTGAGCGGTGATGAGATGCTGCAAGTGACCAGTGCGAAGTGCATCGCTGCCATTTTGGTTCATTCTCCCACTCAGTACTGCGCTCTCTGCATCAAGGCTGATTTACCAGGTGACACACAGACACACTAGACAAGAAATCAGCCATTCGAATGTTTTAGTTCTTCAGTCCTTTTTGCGAAAAGTTCACACTGATCTTGTATTTATTTTATTAAAGATGAAGAAACTCAAATTTAAGGTTATGAAAAATAAACCTTGTTTGTTTTATCTATGAAAAAGCAAAAAAAAAAAAAAAACCAAACATCATATGGTTGCTATTGATGACATTTAAGACTATTTTCAGAATCTTATAATCTGCTTTTGGGACAAACTTGATTGGATGACTCGACTTGTGCAAGTTTGCATGAGTTTTCAGCGTAAACTTCCCCATAAACTGTTTTCCACACAGTGGAATTGATCATTTTATGAAGTCTGGTTTATATTAAAATTTAAACCAGACTCTAAAGTTGCTAGGTTTTCTTTTCCGAAGACCTCAGGCAGCTCTTTTGATCTCCACATGGTGCTCTCCGTCACCTCAGCTGATAAGAGCAAACAGAACGAAATGTCAGAGTTAAACCTGCAGGAGATCTCGGTTAAAGCGCTGAGTAAGGCTTTTCCTGTCACTTACTTTTAGCCATTTTAGACTGAAAAAATGAAGCAGGTTTCTAGTTTATTCCTCAAAAGAAATTATATTTTTTATGTTACATTTAGCAAAATGTTTTGAAAAGTATTCAGCTTTAATTGTTTAGTAATATTGAAACTGATATTAAATATCCATAGGTCCAAACATGCAAGTTTTGACTTTTAAAATTTTTTATTCATTTTTTTACATAGCTGTTTGCTTTTTGATTTGTCTCCCAATTCTTTCTTGTTTTCTTTTGCTTTTCCAGGTAAGTTTAGCTAAATATTACCTCTCTCCCTGAATTACACTGGCTGGTTAAGATTGCAATTATTATAATTTTTTTGCATACATCATATACAAAGATTGTTGGAAGACGTCTTTATGAACTCAGTTAGTGGCAGAGTGACTGTACATTTCGTTTATTGTGCCTCCGTCTCTCTCAGGTTTTCTCTTTGACCGTCTGGCCAGCAGCAGCAGTGAGATGCTGCTGTGGTCCATCTACAGCTGTTTGGTCTTACTGACTGAGGAGCCGCTTTTCTTCTCCCAATGCCACTCTGTATATGGTGAGACCCCAGACTCAGGCCTGTTGAAACCCCAAGTTTACATACACAGCATAAAAAAAACACATCTACTTTTTTTCTTGATGTCTGAAGTTGAATCAGAACAAACTTTTCTTATTGTTTATAATTTTGGTCATTTTAAATGACTTAAAACAAGATGTTTGGTTTGATTTTACTTCAAATTGTAAGAAAAACTATCTTTTTATTCCATGTATGCAAACTACTGGTTTCAACTGTGTACATATTTGCTATGAAAGTATTTCTCCCACAGAAGTGAAGCTCAGACAGCTTTGAAGTTTGATCCCTTTTCATTGCACTGATTCATGACCTCATTAAAAGAGATGGCAGGGCTTTTTCATATTTTAGCTTCACTTCTGATCATTGTTCTTCTGTCTGTCGGATGAGAGAGTTTAAACGGATTAGAAACCAGTTTTCAGTGTTGTATTTAATCACCAAGTTTGCATATCTAAAAATAACTGATGATTGATCACTGATGGGGATACAGGCCATTAAAAGCTCATGCAGAATAATGTTGCTTTGTGAATTTTATTTGATTGATAAAAAGTTTTAGTAAATTTCCCATTGTGGTGGAGGTTTGTGTTTATATAGTCTGTCACTGTTCAAATATTTTTTTTAAATTAATTTTAAATGTAGATTTGCAGTGTTTTTTAAATTCCACAGTTTTAAAAATGAAAAGAAACTGTCACTAAGTGACTCTGTTGCTAAAATGTTAACACAGTTGATTGATTTAATTATTCTATTAATTTATAAACATGACTTTTAAGATTTCAAATCATTAATGTTCTCTATCTCATATTTTTACCACACCTGCTTTCATCTTATAAACAAGACTCCTCCTCAATCTCACTTATTCCCTTTTTAGCCATCAGGTAATTACATCTGTAATTTTAGAACATCTGTAGTTTCACTTAATTGTATTTTAAATTTTAATTTATGTATTCTGTTTTATTCCCATTTAAAAGGAGTGTTTATTCTAATTATTGGCTTTAAATACAGATTTTTGTATTTGTTTTTTTCCTTTTTTGATTGTGATTTCAGTTTTAAGCCTCTGATCAGATTGTATGATCTGTGGCTCCTTAAAATGATCTCTTATGTTTCCTTATCAACACAAGTGCCTTTGCTTTGCCCTTCAAAGAGTCATGACAGAACTGTGAAGTTGACAGGTTCGTCCTTCAGTGGGTCCTTTGTTATCTTGCCTAGAGCTCTTTGAGTTGACAGGAACAGTTTACCAGCCACTTGCAACTGTAATATGCAACCTGTTGCAATTTAAGTAAACCTTCAGGGCAGAGCGACACTCAATTAAAATGTAAGCAAGGTAAGACATCTTAATAAAAACACAAAACACTAAAACATACATTATATCTAAACAGTTTACGAAATACCATAAAGCTACAAGGATGAGAGGTTCTTTAATAATGTTTTTTTTTGCCCTCTTTATATTGTGTGATAGTAAGAAAGCAGAGGACAAACAGTTCCTATAGCTCTACTTTTTGTACAGAGGGTCTGGGCTCTCTACTTTTGAAAAACAATTGCTTCCTGGAAGACTCTCTGCCCAGGGCGCATGTTATGCTTATACATCACATACTATGAAAATGACCTGGACTGTGAACAACCATCCTCTACTGCAAAGAGAGAAGTGGCAAGCTGAACAAAATGGCTGTTGATGTTAATTCAGTATTTGGAAGCGCGGCAAACTTCACCTGATCGGCTTTGTTCATTTCTCTGCTGGCCTTGCTAAAACTACAGGCAGACTAGAATTTTAAAATGCTGCAGAAAATCAAAAGTCATCTATCATACTTCTCCTGTCTGCTGTTTGCCCAGTAGAAATTCTTCCAGAAAATCAGAGTGAATGGGAGAAATGCCAAACTGAGCTTTGAAGGGAGATGCGAATCGAGCGTAGGAAATCTAGCGGACATACTGATGCTGTTTAAGATACTTTTTTCATGTGACCCTTTTCAAACAAAGTGTCATCTCCAGTCACGAAAAATTATGCCCGCATGTGTAATATCTGCCTGTCCACTTCTTGATATTATACTCATATTGGATTCTGTTGCTAGATCAGTGAGAAAATGAGCTCATTACTGCAGCATCCATGTAGCAGTAAATTAGAAACACGGCTCATTGCTGCTGTGTAAAACGAATGAAAATGAGGGTCGCTTTCTTGGTGCATAATTTCTGCTATTATTTAAGGCCTTGTCACATATTTTAATGCAGGAAGTTATTGTAGTTGATGGTGTATAACGTGTACGTTCTCAGAACACTTGAGCGAGATGCTGCTGTTTGTTGTTTGTTTTTCTCCCGTTGTATTTGTGTTTGTGTTTGTGTTCTAGGGATCGAGTCCCTGGTGCGCAGTCTTAAGGAGGCTTTGCAGCTGAGCAATCTGGAAGCACCAAAACAAGGTTTTCTGCTCCTCACCGAAATACTTCAAAGGTGAGCCTTTACAAATTGTGAGATGAATTTTGGATTCTGGTTACCAATGCAGTTTAAAAAGTTATTGATGTGTTTAACTGTAGTAAAATCAGTATGTTTTATGACATAGCAATTTTTATTAATTTTAATTAGGTGTGTTTTGTTGCCTGAATCAATTCAAGTTAGGTCAAAAACATTTTACTAAAAATAGTAAAGTATGGACGCTATTTGATTTCTTTGGTAGTAAATTAACAAAAGACAAACTTTCAATCACCTCACAATAAAAGTAGCGACTTGGAGACTTGTTTTTTATGTTGTGTTTTTGTGTATCTTGTGGACCATGAGTCTGTTGAATAAAGTAAAGTTAAATCAAAAGAATAAAAGGCAAATTTGGTCTGAAATTGAATTTCTATCCCTTCAAATGAACTTGTTGCTTTAAATATCAGTACAAAACAAAATTTGGTTAAATCGACTGATTGTGCAGCACACCGAGTGCTTCATGTACAAATATTGTGTGTTTAAACTCAGACATTTATAAACACAATTTCAGCTGAATAAATTCTCATGAGGAAATGCCTGACCGCCTTCCCAAAACAGTTTATTGTATTTATGCATCACTTATAGTTTATGCATTTATTGAAGGAAAAAGATTCCTGTTGACACAAACAGGTTCATCCTGCACTGTGTGTGCAGTCAGTAGTTGCCGTTTCATTTGGAAAACCAGCTCTTGGACTCTTCAGCTTCATACAATTGGAGCTTGATGAGCCTGGATGATATCCAGACAATTGCATCCACAGAGTTGGCATCGCTGAGCTCAGGGTTGATTGGCAGCGTCCCGACAGGTCGGCCATAACCACCCCCCCAAAATATGCCCAGTTGCCAGTTAAACCAGATTACTAAACATTTCCTCTGCTACTGATTATATAGTTTCTCACAGGCAGGCGACAGCTCCGGAGCTCTGCTGCTTTGCATTGAATCCGAAGCAGCAGCATTCAATTTGAACCAGATAGCATTTTATGCTATCTGGTTCAAATTGCTTTTAGGTTGATGAAATTGACCCATATTTTGCCAATGAGCAAGTACTAATTTCCATCTTTTATTAACATTTGCGTAAAAAACTGTCTTGTCCTTTATGTTAATTGGTCTGGTTTATAAAAATATCCTTTTATTTACGTTTAATGACTTTCCAGTGTTCTTATGTCTTTGCATCATGTTATGTTTTGAGTGATTTATTACAGACTTAATTATATTTTTCACTTTTGACAGTATGTGAATTACTCTTGGATTACTTGCCCAAAAAATGACCCTAAGCCATAACACTAAGGTGCACCAACCAGCATAGTGAGGTGACTTCTTGTAAAACATGTTAAGTGCGGTGCACTGTTGAGTTTAATTGGATTTAAATGAACTGTCTGGTGTCCACATGATGAAAATGTATCACTGACTAATAAAACACCGTCCTATTTTTGCAAGGTTGACATCATTTTAATGGAATGTGACCGGTCACATGGTAATGATAGAGGAGATAAAAGATTTAATAATCCAAGAGTGAAATTTGTCCTTTAAGAGCTACGTTTAAGCACTGAAGTGCTGAGTGAGCCAAAACGAGTGTGTATATATATATGGGTGGATCAGGTGTGTGTGAGATTTTTAGCAGAGTTTGGAGTTTTGTTTGTTTAGGATTCTGAGAGTTTAACGACTTGATGGGAAATTTTTGGCATGATGTACACATGACATCGAGCATGCCTGTGTTATTTAGAATGTTCTATGTGACACTTATTGTGGCAACAGTTCACAGATGTTATGGCAGACAAACTTTGGTGATATTTGTCACACTAAGAGGTCAGTGCCGTTTATTTATTTTGTGTGCTCTGCTTCGCCGGGAGGAAAGAAAACACAGTGTGCATGGATACGTGGGCGCTAGTGACATAGAAAAAATACTGCTGATGTCCACACAGCAAACCTTTGAGCAACATGTCATGTCTGTGGATCCTTAAAGAGACAGTATCATGTGTTTTCCTGGCACATGGTGCTGTTTTATAGAGTAGTCCATTATGTTACTTTAATTTGTTCGAAAAATGTTGTATATATTTCAAATATGACTTGAGAGAAATCTGACTTCATAATTTAATGCAGAGAAATTGGGTCTCTGTCTCTTTAAAAACTCCTGCTCTTTCTGAAACTCCAGATTTAGGAAATCATCATATTTAAAAACTGCAACTCTGAGGAGCTCAAAAGGTTTATTTAGTCTATTTCTAAATAACACATAATACTTCCCCTTTAAAATGTCTCATTGTTAGGGTTAACACCTGTTAAACATACATTAACAAAGACAGAAAAGACAAAAGAGTTAGATTCTTTTTCACTCGCGAGGAGAACGGACAGAGATGTGCTTCAGTTACAATCTCCTACCGCTCTGAAGCACATTTTGTCTGCTCCTCTATTTTATTGTTTCTAGGATCCCTAATCACAAGGACGCTGTAGCTCTAAAGGGAGGGGGCAAACAGCTACAGCGTCAAATGTTATTCACTAACTAACACACAATCATTCTGTACTAGATAATGTCCTTCCAGGCACAAAGATTAATAAAATATGTAGTGATCTTAGCAATGATGGTTTTATTGGAGGCCAGCAACTCAACCGAAGCAGAGCTCTTCACCAAGAGGTAAACCTGCAGGAAGATTTTGTTTCTGCTCTCTGTCAGTGAGGCCTTCTGAGAAAGGAATCAGAGCAAATCAACAATACAAGAAACATTCTTAATTCTATAATGAGATTAACTTTAAGGAAAGCATCAATTAAAGATACATTATAAAGATCAATGAGAATAACAAATAATTGATTAATAATATCACAATTTCTCCAACATTTCCCCCCTGTTTATCAAATATTTGTTCTAATTCTCATATCTCTCCTAAACAGCCACTTCGAACAATTTTCAACTAGGAGTTCATTTTTTAAGAAAGCAAACATGTTTACACTCAAGGTTTATACTCAGTCCAAAACTTAGAATCAGGAAACACATCAAAAGAGTCCTCATCAGAGCTTTCTCTGTCAGACTCAGGTTCTCTCGCCAATAAGGGATACATCGGCATCATCTGGTTCCCCATGGGCTAAATTGCTGTAGTGATGAGACTATTAAACAAAGAACGCAGGCAAGGAATACAACAGCATCCACACAAGGTTAGAATGGCAGCAAAGACAGCCATTGACACTAAAGCAGAGGACACAAGGGTTCGGTTCTTTCCAAAAACATTCATCCAGTCGTCCCACCTGAAAGTATTCACTCCAGAGAACTCCTTCAGCTTACCATTAAGGGTACGGAACCCCTCAATGGCCTTCGTCAGGCTGCCATCAGCCGCTGTGTTGTTGGGTAGAAAAGTGCAGCATCTTTCACCAAAGATTGCACACACTCCCCCTCGTTCAGCCAGCACCATGTCAAGTGCAATGCGGTTCTGGAAAGCCATCAGTGATGTAGCGGCCAGCTGCTCATGCACCGCCTCGAAGCCTGCCTGTGTCCAGTTGCCCAGTTTTTGTACATTGTAATGGATGTAGTTGATTCTGTCAACGTTTTTGTTTAATGTACACCACCAACAAATTGTGGACTCAAATCCTGCTGCAGTTTGGTCGGCCAATTTATACTCATCTGGTACACCACGGGGAACACCAATGGCATCGATGTATGTAGGATCATTGTTCCTCCAGGTCAGGTCTCGCTTCTGCAACTGACGTCACTGCTGAGGCACAACATCAGTTAAAGCATGAATTAAATGATCAGCAGTCATGGATAAACAGAAACAGGCAATAATAAAGAAATTAATGCAGACATCCCTGTTACCTTCCTAGGTAATCTATTAAAAATTTTGTCACCACTGCACCACCACCAGACATCTGCACGAAAGACAGGGTTAAATTCATTGTTCACAGAGAGAACAGTCAGATGTTAAAAACATCATTTGTCATATATCAAGTTTAATCTCTGTAGTTTGCCGACGTCATACTTGCCCAGGAGACTAAAACAATGATAACAGAACTAGGTGGAAAACATACCTGAATACTCATCCTCATTCTGTAAACAGTGCTACAAGAAATACATTTTCATTTATGACATGAATTGTTCCCAGATGAAAAACACAAAATAAAAACAAAGATATATTCACTTGTTATTTTCATTAATGTGCAAGTCCGTTCTGCTCCTAAAGACACTACAGGGTTGTGGACAATCTTCACCAGTTTTGAGACGGAAAAACTATTTGGTTTAACCCCCTTGTAACCTGGACTTTGCCCTGTAGGTCGGTGAGCGTCCTGAGCTTGCTTCCCAATTACTTTTGAAATTAAATTCCTTTTTGCAGTGTGTTAAATGTATCCAAGTTGGCTTTTCCGCTGCATCTGGGTTTTTAGTGAAATGTTCAAACCATTTAGAAAAGCATCAATTATTTCTAAACAATACTTTTGTCCTTCACTGTTATTCAATTCTATGAAGTCCATATGCATTACTTGAAATGGATATTGCAGAGTAGGAAATTTTCCTCTAAGTGATCTTAGATTGCCCTGAGAGTAATGTTTTGCACATATCAAACAGGTCCTACAGAAATTTTTTTTAAATAAGAAATAAATCCATAAGTAGTTTAATGTCGATGTATCCTAACATCCCCCCTGTTGAGACATGCGAAAACGCCATGGCTCAATATTGCAGCCCATTTATACACATCTTTTTCTTGGTAAAATAGGTTCAGTTTCATATAATTTTCCAATTTTGCTCCATTTTTTTTATCCATAAATCCTTTTCATTTTGAGGACTTAATTGTTGCATGTCTCTTAAAGTTTCTTTCATAAATTTAATTTTTTTTTCATCCACATGTAATACATTTATCTCTCCCTCAGCTTTTTTTTATTTTGTCTTCGAAAGCATTCCCTAGGGACACCTTATCTGTCCCTGCAGTGTGCGCCGCACATTTACAGATTGCTAGTTGTTTTGGTAGGTGCACGACTTGTAATAATTCTTTTAATAATTCTGCATGTGTTACTTTTGATGTTAATGGGTGAAAAAGAACTATAGGAGCTCTAACTTCTACTGCCATAGAAGCAGCAACTACAGCTCTCACACAATGTGGTAAGGCACACGCTACACTATCAAGTTTTGAAGAAAAATATGCTATTAGTCTCATTTTATCACCATGCTGTTGGACTAGCACCGAGGTCATGACATGACCTTTACAATCCACCATCTGAACAAAAGGTTTTGTATTGATAATCTGGTAACGCTAACGCAGCGCTTGACACGAGGGCCTGTTTTAGTTTGCAAAGTACTTCTTCTGCTTCATCTGCCCACAACAAAGAAGAAGACATTTTAAAATCTTTTATACATTAATTTATTCAGAGCTGCCACAATTTCTGCATAATTAGGCACCCAGTTTCGACAATAGTTAGTCAACCCCAAAAAGGACATCATCTGTTTTTTTTTGTTTGTGGTTTGGGAGCTTGGAGAATTGTCGTTTTTCTATCCTCCGCTATGGTTCGTCCTCCTTCACTCAAATTATGACCCAAATATTTTACTTTTCGTTTACACAGTTAAAGTTTATTTTGTTAACCTTATGACCTTCTTTAGCTAAATGTTGCAGAAGCGCTAAAGTGTTTTGCTTACAGGTTTCCCTGTCTGGAGAAACCAATAAAACATCAACTATGTACAACAAAACTTGGCTCCCTCCTGGGGGTTGAAAAGTTTACATACTTGCACTCATTACTTGAAAGAGAATTGTAGGGCTTTCACAGTAGCCTTGAAGTAGTCTGGTGTACGTGTATCTTTTCCCTTCAAAAGTAAAAGCAAACCAAAATTGGCTCTCTTTCTCAATTGGTATTGAGAAAAAGGCATTTACTGATGTCTACAACCGTGAATACTTTTGCATCTGATCTAAGAGAATTCAACAATGTGTGTGGATCAGTCACATGTTTTGTGTCTGTGTACAGATAGGTCACAGTTATCTTGGCTGGGGTGACCTTGTTGAGTCTCGCTTCATAGTTCCTATCAGGCCCAGGAACTGTTTTGAACCAAAGTGTGACATGCAAATCATCAGGAGACTTTTGATCCTGTAGGGCAGAAATGGCTTTATGCCCCTCTGCCAGAAGTGTTTGTGCAGTGTTGTGTGGGGGTTTGTTGGGCACATCCAATGAATAAAAGTAATACAGTTCCCTGTGTCCCTGGACAACAAAGAAATCCCCTTCTTTTATTCCTGTAGCTGATCTTGACATTTTCACCACAAATTTTTTACCCCAAGAATGTTTTCTCTACATGTTGTTCTACATGCACCCGTGTCACAGAGGAAATTTACAGGTTTGCCATTTATTAGGAGAGTTATTTCAGGTCTTATGCTGTCCATAGAAAGTAAATCCTGAAGATTTAACTGGACCTCTTCACTCCCCAATTTCTCTGATCTTAATCATGCTGACTGTCCTGTGTTTTTTTTTTTGTTTTCTTTTTCTCGGGCAATCTCTGGCTAAATGTCCTTCCTGCCCACAACACCAGCACCCCGAGTAACTGTGCCTGTAGTTTCCTCTCCCATGTCTCCCTTTTAAACCTCTAAGGTTCTGACCTCTGCCCCTAAAGCCTTCTCTTCCTCTCCTGTCCTCATAAAACACTTGTTCCTCATCCTGGAAAAAGGCTCCTGGAACCTTTTCCTTTTCTTTTGTAATTTCTTTCTCCCCACTTTCTCGTTTTTGCGCTACTAATTGTACATCATCATACCCTTCCTCGTACAATTTTTATTTGAATTTGTTTTTTTTTTATCCTGATCTTAAATAACTTTCCAGTTATTTGATTTTAGACTGTCTGTTGGCTTAGTTTTACTTATTCATTTCCCCATTTTTTTTTTTTATTTAAATTTGGACCAGTTTTGCCGACTCCTAGGGAGTCCTAGAAACTGGAGATCTGATTCAGTAGGCCAGCAATTGAAAAGACCTGTTGTGGTAACTCTCACTTCAACTCTTTCGAGTGGAGAGTTCTTGCCTGTGCATCCACAAGAGGTTTGCTGCTCACAATCCTACTGTTTTACATGAGATAAAATACCAAGTGGTATTTATACCTCCAATCACGCTCACATACACACCTTTTTTTTTTTTGTTTCACGGATTTGAAGCGCCTGTTATCGCCGTCCATTTAACCACGGGTATTCGTCGGGCCCCGTTCCCACAACAGGTGGGGTTCGTAAGATCTCAAACCACGTGAGGTTGCAAAACCCCGAACCAGGTGAGGTTTGCAAGTCCTCGTCCCAGTAGGGTTTTACAAGACCTCCAGCGAGGTAAGGTTTACCAACCCTTATTTTCTAGTTTATTTTATTATTTTTTTTTTTTTTTGTCTTTCATTTTTTATTTTTATCTCTTACATACTGATACGGAACTTAAGCGCCTGTTTTCGCCGGACTCCGCAATCCGTTTAGCCTGCAGGTACTAGTTGAGCTACTGTTACTGCTCACAATAGTACAATTACTAATTGGGCTGCTGTTACTGCCCAAAACAGTGCAGGTATTTTGTTGGGCTACTGTTACTACCCACAATAGTACAATTGTTATTTGAGTTGCTGTTATTACCCAGAACAGTGCTGGTATTAGTTATTTGAGCTGCTATTACCCAGAACATTTCTAGTATTAGTTGGGCTGCTATCATTGCCCACAATAGTACAATTGTTGGTTCCCCAGAACAGGACAAGGCCTCCAGCCTTGAAGCACCAGGCTCCGTTAGCCTATCCACGGATTTTGTGCATTACTTTTACCTGTTAGAGTCTAGAATTGACAGGGTTTTCACTTGTGCGCGCAACAACCTTCAGTCAAAGAAGAAGTCACTCTTCTCTCACACAGAAGAATGACTTACTCTCTAAAACGTCATTCGCCACTTTTTAAAGAAGAATCACTCACCCTCTCTTGTCTTTCCCTGGAGTGTCGTCAACCTTCAGATCCCAGCAGGCAGGCCGAGCCCAGTCCTTTAACAGGTTCTCTTGCCGTGCGCACGGTCTTACTGGGGTCCGCCACACCTGCCGGAATCTTTCCAGTATATGACATCCGGCTCGAAGGACCAAAAATGTTAGGGTTAACACCTGTTAAACATACATTAACAAAGACAGAAAAGACAAAAGAGTTAGATTCTTTTTCACTCGCGAGGAGAACGGACAGAGATGTGCTTCAGTTACAATCTCCTACCGCTCTGAAGCACATTTTGTCTGCTCCTCTATTTTATTGTTTCTAGGATCCCTAATCACAAGGACGCTGTAGCTCTAAAGGGAGGGGGCAAACAGCTACAGCGTCAAATGTTATTCACTAACTAACACACAATCATTCTGTACTAGATAATGTCCTTCCAGGCACAAAGATTAATAAAATATGTAGTGATCTTAGCAATGATGGTTTTATTGGAGGCCAGCAGCTCAACCGAAGCAGAGCTCTTCACCAAGAGGTAAACCTGCAGGAAGATTTTGTTTCTGCTCTCTGTCAGTGAGGCCTTCTGAGAAAGGAATCAGAGCAAATCAACAATACAAGAAACATTCTTAATTCTATAATGAGATTAACTTTAAGGAAAGCATCAATTAAAGATACATTATAAAGATCAATGAGAATAACAAATAATTGATTAATAATATCACAATTTCTCCAACACTCATAGAGTCTTAAGTTCACGTATCTAAAATTAAGGCCTTGAAATGTCTTACATTAATTTAAAAACAATAAGTTCGCCTTAAATAGGTTTGTCACATGTATTAACTTTTGATGTAGCAGGAGTATTTAATCTCATATATTCTGTATAATTTAGTTTTTCTCAAATTATTTTTCTGTAAAGGAAATGTGTAAGTCGTGTGCAGATATATTAATTTTGTTCTGTAACTCGAGGCAGTTGAGGCTACCGCTAACTAGCTGCTGATAAAACCTAGCTAGCTACATAGCTGGAATTCTTTGCATCTATTATGGAAAAGTGCAATTTTATCTTAGTCTTTTTCACTATCTCATGTCCATTCTACGCAAAAAAAGCTCAACACTACTAGATTATAAAACATGCATTATTTTTTAGTCATGTAATAGATATTAAATGTTATTTGTAATAAGAAGCTTAAGAAGCCTTCAGTTTGAGTTGGTAATACCTGTAGAAACCCTGGACAAATACATCCATCCTCCCTTTTCTTTAAGTAGACTGCACTGGAAGATTGTCCAAACCCCAAAAAAATATTAACCAAAATGTACTGTCTTCTGCTTTATTCTCTTATTATGCTTATGTTCTAAACATATACAGCACCACAAGCTGTACCCGTGTGTTTATGTGTGTGAACAGACAGCCTCCAGGCGTACATCTGTTCCCCAGTGCTTCAGGGTTTGTGTCAGTGTCAGAGGCGGTAAAAGCCGGCATCTCCTCCTCCTGCCTGCTGGTCGCCGCACAGGCTGTCAAAGCTGCAACCGCTTTGTTCAGGTATAAACACCCAAAATGTAGACATGCGTAGAAATGAGACGCATTTTGTCGAGGAGGTTCGTATCGCTACATCTATCCTTGAAATACTGTTACATTTTTTCTTTTTCTTTCTTTTCTGTCTTGCCTTTTCAGAGCATGAGTTTTATTTTTACTTAGTTCCAACTTGCTTATGGTAAAGATACGCATGAATAATGAAAGTCCTGACTTTACATGGGTGTGCTTAAAATCTCATCAAAGCCAGTTGATAAAAGTGCTGCAAATTAGCGTCTCCCCTCAGCTGCAACATATCTACACTCAGGACTGAGACAAAACAATAGAAACTTGGACAAACAAGGAGGAAGGACCAAAGTTTATTTTGTCTGCACTCAAAATAAGTGTGATGGAGAGAAAGTTAAATATCTCCAAATCTGACCTTTAGAGACCTGCAATAAAAAGTGACATCTTGGGGACGTGGATTCTCAGTAATAATTTATTTTAAAGTTTTTGTTCGGATCTCTCCCAGTAACAGTGGAGAGCGCTGTAATTTGTATTTTTTTGACAAGTTCAGAGGGAGATAAAGGAAAATATGTTGTACCTAATTAAATTGTATTTCCAGAGTATGAATATGCATGTTCTGCTAAGACCTGGACATGTTTTTTTTTTTTTTTTCGTAATTTGACTTATGATACAGGCAAACATTACCTCACTAAAGAATCGGCTTTCAGAAACTTCAGATTTTGAGATTTTATCTAGACTCATTTTACAGCACATCCAAAACTACATTGAAAATGAAATGTATTTTTTTCTTTTTTGTTTTCGTAATTCTTTCTCACTTTTGCCAAGGAGAAATCTTTTTGATCCACCAAGACCTCAGGAAAATCTGAAAAGGCATTTCAGGCAAAAAAAAAGAAAGAAGAAAAATCGGTTTGTGAGCTTAAGATCAAACCAACTCAAGTTTTACAGCAAAGCAGAAAATGGACAGTAAATTGTGGCGTTATCCGTTTTCTATAGTCTGCCAAGAACCTGTATCTACATTGCAGCCCACATAAATCATAGCTAACGCACGGTGAAGAAGCTGTTCATTAGTTTTTATGTGGCTTTATCTTTGCAATCCATCTTCTTAACATATCAGAAGGTGCTTCCTTAATCAAAGGAATGTCTCTGCCTCTTTTAGACTCAACCATCAGTCCAGACCAGTCCAGTACCAAGAGCTGGAGGAACTGGTGGAGGCCATCACCAGCAGGTTCCCTGAGCTGATTCTGACTTCCCCTTCTCATCGACGCAGCATGGCAAGTCACACATTGTTTTTATACAAGCCAGTTCAAACTATTAATCTGTTCTGCTCATAAATCTCTACATCATTATGTTTTTTAAGGTTGCTGTAGGTACTGTAATGATTAATTCGGTAAGTCAGTATGTTCTGAGTCTCTCCTTGTGCGCGCTAATGGCAACAGATGTGAAAGAATATATAATTGTGTAAAATAATTTAATAAGTAAGTCTTTTAAAAGAGTCTGCTAAATAATTCCTTACTGGTGTATTTTTTTTAATCTCTGTTCTTCAATCAAAATAAATGCATAGCATTGCAACATAAAACAATATTAAAGCAAAAATAACGATAATAGTAATTGATTCAACAACAAAGATTAATCAGCTAATTCCCAAAACAGATTAAAAATACAACAAAAAATTGTCAAGACATGTTTTTTTGTTTTTTTTTTAAAGGTACTTGATCAAATAAAACTGTATCCATTATATTCACATTTAAAAATGCAACAGCAGGTGTTTTTGGTTGCCTAGTCGTCTGTGTTTGCCTCTACAAGGTTTATGTATTTTTTTAGCTTATCAGAAAAACTAAATAAAAAATATAAAATATAATTTTGCCAACTGCAGTGACATGCCTCAAAGCTTGTTATGCAGCAAGTATTGGTTGCCTTAGTTACTTATCTTATTGGGAAGTAAAACATCTGTTTAAATAAATAGTTTTATTGCTACGTTGCCAACCCACAACATATCACACTTTTTTATTGAAAATAAGTCTCGCTGTGGTATTGCCTTGTTTTCGAGGATGCTAAAGGATAAATCACGTTTTCTCACACAAGCAATAGTTTGTTCGACTGGGTAAAAATAGCTGAACTCAGGATGCAATAATCTCTACAAAAACAACACACTGCATATATATGAGTTTGTCGTAAATACAAATAAATTTTTTTTTAGCACTTAGAGATTTTACATGTCTAAATGCAGTCAGGCAGGAATGTGCTGGACTACATCCAGAAACGAGGAGACAGAAATAAAAAGGAAAGTTGTGAAAAAGTCCTCAACCCACCTCACCTGATCTGGCGTCAGGTGAGGTGGGTGTGGCAGGCACAGAAAAAGCAATGAGGACGTCTGGTGGTTGTGAGGAGCCTGACAAGTTACGCTGCAGAGATAAATAAAACGTTCTGGCATCTGAGTATCGTAAACGTGACACCAAAACTCTGCGGACAAAGCAACGTTTTTCCAGTTTGTACTTGTGCAAACTGCATAAGCCCTTTTGCTTCGAGGTTTGACTTACTGCGTATTCATTAAACTGTACTCTTCATTCTTTGGTTGTAATTAGTGGATATTTAAGCTACTGCTGCATTTCTCTCCACCTTGAACCAGTTTGCCCTTTGACCCCTGAGCCATCAAGGTGTTTTCTCTCCTCCAGAACATTTTCCGTAAACCTGATGAACGCTTGTGTCAGGTTAGGAAGTGAAAAATGAACTGATTTTCAATCAGAACTCTGTAAAAAAAAGTTTTTCTTTTTTACTAATACAGACTTAAATAACACAGAATATCAATATTTCTTTTTTCTATGCAATACGGTCAGACATAATAATAATTAATATTGGTTAAAGCTCTTTCTTTTTGAGTTTTACAGTCTCTATTTTTTGTTTTAACCCAGCTCTGTTTTATCTTACAGGGAAACAAACAAAGTTCGGATTCCAGCAGCCAGACCTTTCGGTCCAAAGGATTTCTGCTCCAAGCTCTGATCTGTTTCCAGGCAGCCTGCAGGTAACAAATGGCTCAATGAACTCAGTAAAATAATTAGTGCAGATCTCTGCCAGTAATTTAACAAGTAGGCATCAGTTTGTTCAAATGAAACTCTCTAGTGAATGTTTCTAATTTAGAAATAACGAGTGAAACGTGTTATTAGAGTTTATATTGAACTAGATCAAATAGTTCTTAGCGTAAAGGTCTCTTTCTTTTTAGTAAAATTGGAAAGGAAAATATAACAATGTGGTATTTTTCTGTGCATCATTTGCGTTTTCTGAGTCTCATCCTCTGCTTTGTTCCTGTGTGCAAGCTGTGCTTTGTGTCTTCGTTTAAACAAAAGTCTTGTTTACATTGAAGGCTCGCAGAGGAGTGTGCGTCAGAGCCGGCTCTGACGAAGAACCCGTTCACAGCCCCGTATAAACACAGCGGCGCTCAGGATCCACTGGAGTCCGTCTGCCAGTGTCTGCTGCGCTGCTGCGACTCTGTGTGGATACCAACCGTGCTGGTAAGGCCCAAAGTTACAGAGCTGATGTCTGAATGATGGAACTCAAACTTTGTGACAATTTGTAAAAAAAATGTTTGCAGTATTATAGATTTGGAAATGTGTGCAGAAATTGTGAAAAATGGCATGGCAAAAACACAACACCACATGCACCAGTTTATCTGCAGGAGATTTCCCTTGTTAGGGTTTGATAATCAGCTGGTTTTTCCCAGTTCATCCATGCATCATCACTAAAAACTCTCATCCCGGCTTGTCACAATAAACAATAAATCAGCTAATTGCATAATAAATTAAAACGAGCTCTAATTTTCATTTGCATGATTGTTTTTCTCTCTCTTTCTACTAAAAACTGGATGACGAAAGTCGTCACTCTGGTGCATTGGTTTCCTCTAAGAGACAATAAAATATATTCTATTTTTATTTAAACTAAAACCTTTTTTTTTTTTGTCAAAAGAATTTTGTTTATGGAGACTTCATAACTCATTATATTAGTTGTTTCTGTTTTGTTTATTTTGATATTCAAAATGTCTTCCTGTTCCAGCGTTAAATATTCATTAGAATTTATATTAATTTTTGAGAGAGTTTATTTGCATTATAGTTCATTACCATTATATTACTTTGAAATGGTCTCAAAATGACAATTGGTTATTGCAGTAACTTCTTGGACAATTTATCAGTCTGTCATTATGACAGGGCTACTCTCATTACTTTCTGTCTAAATGCAGCTCTCTTGTTTTTTGTTGAATAAAAACAATCAAAGCAATGTGTTGCTCTGCCTTCCATTTCTGCTTTATAGTTCTTATAAAAACTAATCAGAATTGGAATCAGCAGGTGAAATATTAAAGGTCACGGCAAATCCATGCTGACCAGCAGCAGCCTAATTGGTTCATTTCTAGATCTCAGCCTTATTTATAAAACATGGAAGCTTGTGAATGTTTATCAATGTCTGGGTTGTAACTAATTGTGTTCTTGGACCCTTTTTGTGTTTCACCCCACAGAGGACATGCGATGGTCCGCCGAGCGCCCAGATTCTGGAGTCGCTCTACTCCATCCTTTGCTCGCAGTTTGTCCTTCTTCCATCTCTGATGCCACAGTTTGCAAAAAAACTGGGTGAGCTTTAATAACTCTCTGCAGTAAATGTGAAATGTTGCTGTTTTTCAGACAAATATTTTCTTTTCAAGTAGCTTTGAGGTAGTTTTAACTTTATGAAAAGTTAGAAAAAAATCACTATAATGTGAAGGATGTTAAAGTAGTGCTGACCTTTGACATGTAACATGATTTATTTAGTGCCTATTTTAAAAAAAAATCACCACCATGGATTTTTTTCTTTTTATTGCTTTTACAAACAAATCATGATAAACTCAATTTGGCTTTTTTGACAAAATAAATTACACCAAAAACACTATAATTTGAAGGTGAAAACTAATTTCTGCAAAATAGTAATTAAATAAAAATAGACACAGTAACGTAATATCAAGCGAATACTTACTGTATGTTTTTAAGGTTAAGGCAGAAACCTTAGTAGTTACTGCTGACCTGATTTCATCAAAACCTAAAAAGAAATTCAAACTAAGCTGTCAATGAATACAATCAGACTTGATTATTAAGGAGAAGTTGGTCACCAGAAAGCCAGCTTTGAATAAAACAATGCAGAGAAAAAGCAACCGTGTTCTGCAGGATTGATGTAAAACATTTCCATAAAACGAAAGAAAAAGGAAAAAACCCTTAACAGAGCATGTTGAAACCACTCTGTAGCATTTTCATTTTGTTATTGCGAGTCTGTTGGGTATGTCTCAATAAATATAAAGATGCACTTCAATTATGAGACCCAGAGCAGTTTTACCCAAATCCTTCCGGGTCTCCTCTGGGCTTTCAAAAGCATCAAATTTAATCATCCCAATTTTAGGCATCAGTTAATCTTAAATAAACTCAGATTTCTCACACAAGTTTTCAAATTACATTTCATTACATGTCAAATTTAGTTCAATATTGCTTCTTCCATTGGCTTTTTTTTATTTCTGAAATCTACGTATGCCGTATGCTGGCCGCATTATTTCACTTACAGGCAGCAAACAACCTAATTAGAAGGAATAATAATTCCTTATATTCCTTAATTATAATAATAATTATGTTAAGAAAATAAAACTGAAACATTCCTGTAAGGTATTTATGATTAAGTACTTCAGAAAAAACATATACTGAACAAGGTTTGGCTTCAAATTACAATTGACTAAAACTCAACAGCCCTCATGAGAGTTTATTGGAATTAAGGAATTATTCAAATCCCACTTTAAAAACAAGCGTTAGTGGATGAACTTGTTTTCTTGCTTGCAAGTTAAACACAACGAGGTAGAAGACATTCTGTCTCACAGGAAGTAAAACATAAAGACTCAAGCTGTGGATTGTCCTAGAAGACATCCTGGAGTCCCTGGAATAATTACCGTTGTGTCGGATAATTGCTCCCCTCCTCACCTTCTCTCCCCTCCAGTGTCTTCTGGTTTCTATCGGCTGGCAGTGGAGCACAAAGCCTCTGTGCAGGAAACAGGTACACCTACAGAATACACAAAGACAAGGACGCTCATAAACAGCAATTAACAAAACGACGCCGTTTAGACGTGGAGGTGTTCATGTTCTGTGTCTTCATTCAGAACTCAGTGACACAATTGCAAAAAAAAAAAAAAAGAAAAGAAAAAAAACCAAGACTGTGAAACATGACTGAGGATTCTGAAATATCTTTTTCAGAAATGTGTTGCACCTGCAGGTGTAACATTCTCTGTCTTATATGAAAGCATATTGACTGTTATTTGCACGTGTTTGAGGCTGCACGTTTGTGCTGCTGTGTGCGATGGTGGTTGTGGTTGAAGAAGGCTTCAGGCCCCCCTGCTCTGAGCTGTAATGAAAGTGAACTGCACTCGGTCTGTCTTTCATGTTGTGAAAGCACATCCTGTCCTGTGTTTGACAGTTCAGTCGTCCATAGACCAGCCTTTCATGGGGAGCACATGTATTTCTTAGCTTCCCTAAGAGGAGATAATGTTTCTGCTGTGATCTTACGCATTCATGGTTATATTCTGAGTTTTGTCAACGTTTCTCCCTTTTGTGAATTGTTGCAGGAACCCAAATCTGAACGCAACTTGCTGTGGCTTTCTGCAGAAACTAAGCATGTGTCTACTCTTCCAGTCAGACCCTCCCTGTGGCTCCAGTCATGGTATACACAGCTTGCATACATGGTTGCACCACAGTGCACAAAGTCAATTAGGAACCACTGAGAATAAGGTGATTTTACTGTGTGTTGCCTAGAGTTACAGCTTGTTGGGCAAGAGTTTTTTTTTTTTAGATTTTAAGAAAAGTGTGAAGTAAATGTAGATGCTGTCACTAATGTAGCGGCTGATCGGGTGCAACGCCTTGCAAAAATATTCACACCGTTTGAACTTTGCCATGATGTGCCAGCCTGCAACCACAAATTTAACTGTTTCATTGAGATTTTCTGTGGTAGACCAAACCAAAATGGGGCCTAACTTTGAGGTGAAAGGAAAAGAACTTTTTTTTTTCTTACAAATAAAATTTTTTTAAAACGTGTGCATTTTACCTCCACCAGTTCAGTGGTTTGTAGAACCATCTTTAACTGCTATACAGCTGCAAATAGTTTTGGTGGTGTTGAGTTTGAAACAGAACTTTGATATTCAAATTAAAACATACTTTATTGATCTCAGAGGAAAATTAAATCTTGTTTAATTAAAGAGTTAGTGATGGCTGTGGGCAGGAAAAATCTCCTGTAGCGGTCTGTATTACAACTACTTAGAAGAAGCCTCTGACTGAAGACACTTTCACAGACAGTTTCATGAAGAGACGCTTCTGAAAGACGTGGAACTGGGTCAGTTTCTCCAATGACATGACAAGTGATGGCCTCAAACACAGTTACCTCTATGTAAGCTCACTGCGCAAAACTCCACTGCTGAAAAAAGCATGTTTTTTCTTTATTAAAGTTTACTGCAGGAGATATGGACAAGCTAAAGACACACTGGGGTTACACAACCTGACATAATGATGCCAGAACACATTGTCAAAGATAAATAAACTTTCAATCCTAATAAACATTTAACACTGGCACTGGAAGACATTTTAAATATCCCAAATAAATAAATTAAACATCAAATAAAATTAATTACAAAGTCTCTGTAAAGAAATTTGTCCTTCAAAAAAGACCAACGTCCTTGGTCATCCATTTTTTTGGGTAGAAAGAGAAGAACAACAAATCATGCAAATGGAGATTGAGCTTGCTTTAATTTATCATGCGATTAGATGATGTGTTGCTTACTGAGACAATTGGCCCCAGAACATTAAAGTTGAATCCATGCCACACTTTTCAGAGTTATTTATTTTCTGTTTTGAAAACAATGTATCCATTTCCTTCTGTGACAAAATGTGGAGAAGGTTAAAAGGTTTGCATACTTTTGCAAGGCACTGTACATAACATAAAAGAAGTGAAAGTGTGTTAAGAGCATCATGGTCAAAAAACCCCAACACAAACCAACTGTCGGTGCTGCTCTCAGCTAAAGTTAGCAAGGTCACATTCAGAAACTGCGGATGTATTGAATGTGTGAGCATGCTCTGAAACATCTGTATACTTTTGTACAGCATAAGTCCAAACTATAAGAATGAGAACCAAAACAGAATCAAAGTCATCACTGTTTCTGCTCTCACACTTTCCACATTGCTGCCAAATGAAAAGTAAAATGTACAAAAGCATCTCAGTGACTGCAGCAGCTCCCAGGGGACGTGTTACGCTGTTCAGTAAAATATTATTTCTTCCAAGCAATAAGATGTAAGATGTGTATCAGTAAGCATGCATCACTGTTATGTACGTCTGGAGTTGTGTGTGTGTGTGTGTGTGTGTGTGTGTGTATGTGTGTGTAAGCAGTGAGAACTGGAGTTTTGTTTGCTCCATTTTCTGCCTTGCCACATTTTTATCACTGCTATCTGCACCATCTTCAGTCTCCATGATTCAGATTTCTTTTTCCTCCTTGCCTTTGTTTTAGAATCCATTCATTCATGTTTGTCATTATTTTTAGTCTTCCTCTTGTTCTTCTTCTGTCCTTTCCTGCACTTGTCTCACTCCATTCTCTCTGCAATTATCAAAACTCTTCGGTTTTCTGTGTTCCTTTATCTGAAACTCGTTTTCTGCTAAAAAAAAAAAAGTTCAATCTGTCTTTTTTTCACCTTATTTTTTATGAAGCACTTTTAGTCCTTGGCTTTTTCTCAAGATCCTAAATCATGAATTTTCTTTTTTGTTAAACTCTGGCTGTTCCAGTCAGTTTATTCACTCATATATTTCTGCAGGTTTGTTCTGCATCCTTCTGGTTATGAAAGCTTGAACCCCTGTAGGGAAAATATTTGTTGCTATGAATAACCTAAATCATTACACATGACCACAGTTTAAAGTAGGTTTCCAGAAGACATATGTTAGCAAAATCTTTTTTTCTAGATTTGTTTCTTTTTTCAAACCTGGTTTATAAATAACAAAAAGCCCTTCTATTACCGTCCCTTAAAACCTCCACTTCTTAGATGTTTCAAGGAAGGAATAATAAATATATTTTAAATATAACAATATGGTCATATGTGTGGATTTGGTCTCTATTTTAAAGTAGCAAATACCCGATAATCACCTAAAAGGATCTTATTCAAGCGGGATTATTAAAGTTCCTTTTTATTAATATTATAATCGTGGATCTTGGTAAATCTTTTCAACACTTTTTTCACACGAAATGTGACATTTGTTTTGGCAGTGAAAAGTCGTTGCACATAAACAGAAAGAATACAGAAGATCATAAGTGTGGCTGCATGTACGTATACGGACGTTCAAGTTTTACTGGTGTAGGTACGGAAAATCTTTTATAAATACATAAGTAACATTTTGCTATGTATATACAAGAGGCAATAACAAAAACAATATCAAACTATTAAGATGTTCAGTAAAGATATTAAACTTGGCTTAGAGGTAACTATTTCTGAGTCTGACTGAAATTATTATGCTCAAAGTGTGAAAGTAAACAAAAAGCACAAACACAAAACTGGTGGCATCGATGTTCACACCCTTTAATTCTGTCTTTTTGGTCTCACATGTGACAGTTTTATTAGTTTAACTTTCATGACATTCCCTCATTTAGATCATTTTGCTAAAGCTGCAGTATTTAAGTTTATCACATCTGATCTGTTTTTGCTTTTGTTGATTTATTAGAGTTGAAGCTCGGTTTTCTCTGAAAATAGAGGTTTCCACAGACTGTGTGAATCCTGCGTGTTTTGCAGCTATTTGGTTTGAGCAGTGTGCAGGATACATCTAAAAATGCAACACCGTGCAAAGCGTAATGTATTTTTCCTATTTTATGGAGCGTGAGAGAGATGCAGCATTGTAATATCTTGTAAGAGCCACTTCAGATTCATCTCCTTTACCTCGCCTGCATGGAAGTACCGTTCTCCATAACTAATAAAACTAGAAGGCTGAAACTGGTAAGGGAGACTGCTAAGAGACCGGCAGAAGCGCAGAAGTAGCAGCAGGAATTTCTGATTACCAACTATCCTGTTTTACATGTGACCACATCCTCCTGCATTCTCCTTTAATGTGCACCAAGCATTTTCATCAGCAGAAAAGATCCAGGACTGCCTGAAATCTTTGCAAAAACCTCCGGCTAGAATCTGATGAAACTGACCTCGAGCCTTTTACTATATTTCCAAAAAATATATGTTTGGCACAAAAACAGCAGCAACGATTCAATTTTACTTAATTCATCGGCGCTTCCTGAAGATGAAGAGGGATTTTTATGTTCATCATCATTTGAGCTCGTGTCAAAACCAGTAACATTTTGACATCACCAGAAGAAAATGAATGTTTTGGGATGACATGGCCAGAGATTAAATCTGACAGAAAATCTTTGAAGTCATCTGAAGGCAGCTTCAGATCAGATTATGAAGTGTCCTCATAATCTGAGTTGAAGAAATTCTAGATTAATATTGTTGAGTTAAGATGTAAGACTCTTAATCAAAGGTTGTTTTAGTAAAGTATTGGTCAAAAGCTGCTACCTGCCTACCTGACTTCTGCTGCTTGTTGAAAAGTGCAAAACTTGGAGAAATTTTGGTTGCAAAACTATCTTTTTATAGTTTATTTAAGGAATTAAACTCAAAACATTTCTGTCAGCGTCCCAAAACATGTTCACTCGTCACAAAAAGCAAATATTTACACCTTTGTCTTTAGTAGTTGACTGAAGCCTAACAAAAAGTTGGGTAGGGTGACTGGAATCAAATGTCAGATCATCTCATTACTCAGAAGTTGATGTCTTTATTTTTTTAAATCACTTTAAGACCTAAATCTTAATGATCTTAATTGAACGTAGCAAATCTTGCAGAAATCCATTTTGATTGACAACAAACACTGGGTGAAAGTGTTTAAAAGAGTTTAAAAGCTTTAAAATGTCCAAATTTTCCTCTTTCCGCCGTATGTTGCCTTCATTAAAGCACCTATTGTTTACTGCTCTTTCAGCTCTCGCCAAACCGTCTCTCCAGGTACCAACGCTGACGGCTCACGTTACGGTTCCTCTGCGATACAGATATTGATTTCACACATCCATGACAGCATTGTTCTCTAAAGAGACAGATATTGACCTCATTTATGGTTTTGCCAGAAGGTATTGGAAAAGTGACAAATCAGCACAACCCCTCAAGGTTTTCCTACCCAGGACTTTAGCAGTGCCAGTCGTGGCAATAAGACACTGAATCTGTAGTGAATAGGCCTCTATTTACACTCACAAAAAGTTTTTTGTTTGTTTTTATTTGGTCATGAGAATTTGTTGTGGTTTTTTTATTCCTCATCCCCAGATTTTGAGGAGGTGGAAACTCTTCTGCAGTGCAACCTTTCCTCTCTGTGCTGTCACCTGTCAGACTGGCCGTCTCTGCTGTGTGAATATCAAGAACCGGCCGCCCAGTACTGCCTGGTGATGATGCTCTACCTGGCTCTGAAGCAAGGAGACAGGTAAAATTATTTATGGTATCGACTACAGCAAATACCTGCAAGCAATGAAACCGTAAAACAAACTAAATCATTTATGGCTTTAATCGTGTTTTGGAAACACTTTGGGGATGTGTGATAGCATTTTATTCAGGAGCGCTTTCTTCTTCCCCGTCCTTGCGGAGTGCAGAATAAAAGAAACAAATTAAGTTTTCTTGTAAACTGAAGCTGTAACACATTGTTTTTGAATCTATTGAGCTATATCTTCTTTTACATGGTGGGAGAGGTTGTTTTTTTTTTTCTCAATAGAAAATCTTTCTTCTTGCGTCACAAAGCTTTTCTCTCCTTGAAAATTGTCTCCAAGGAGAAGATTGAGACATTCTTACCACATGTTGCAAGCTGTTTCTTCAGGTTGCTATACAGTTTCCACTCCAGAACGTAATCCACACACAATCTGCAGCGCAAAGCGCCTTGTGTTTTATTTAAATGTCACGAAGAAATAATTATTTCAGTGTACAGTGAAAACCGCCATTCTTATCGAGTCGCTTGTGGAGAGTACTTTAATAAGAAACGCAATGGAAGTCCGGACTGGACGCCTGTAGCTGCATGCAGTGTATCTGCACTGCTACAAAAGGAGTCTTTGATCAGGAAAGTCATTTACTGGCTGCCAAGTTTCTCTGGGGAGAACTATATTAACTGTGCTGCGGGAATCAATTGGAAAAGTACAGTGTCACCAAACTTTGTTCTGCTCGGTGCCAGTGGAAAAACATTCATCTTTGCTGTAGTTTATTGTCAGAACTTTTAAGTTACAGAAACTTTAATGTTGCTGAATGTGCCCCATAAATTCAAACTTAGGCCTTTAATATTTATCTCCACGAATACCTTTTGGGAAGCTTCGATATGGTTTTTATTTTACAAGTTTTTCTGTGTATTTATTTATTTTTTCATGGAACTCTGCTGCTTCTGGTTCAAGATGTTTTTCTCAGTTTGTGAGATAACGCACTATTGAGCGATGTTCAAAGTCTGGGATGATGTTTTATAACCTACCTAACTTCTTTAACACGTTCTCCTCGACCTGTCTGCTGCGTTTCTTTGATCTTCATGATGCTATTTGTTGACTAATATTCATTAGCAAATAGCTTCACAGAGCAGATATTTGGAAATTGAAGTTAAATTATGCCCTGACTGATTCTATGAATAATTTTGAGGTACCAGAGTAAAAGAGAGGTGAGTTCAACTGGACACTGAACATCTCAGACATTTTAATTATTAAAGAAAAAAACAAGAAACTTTAATTTTCCTCACAAGCTGCGTTTCAAAATGACCATAAATTTGCATAGATTGAGATTTCATATTCGCTTCATGGAGAAAAACCAATTTTGAAAAAAAAAAACTATTTTTTTGGTTCTGGCGCTGGGATGAGGTGATTTTTTTGTTTTGTTTTTTTTTTGGCTAAATCAAAATTGATTTATTTCACAAAAGTGCAAAGGAAACAGTTTATTCACATCACACAAGTCATGATCAACAACCGAATGTTGCCAAACTATGCAGAAGACAACAGGAAGTTGTTGGATTATCGTGCCGCGGCATGTCTTATCACGTGAACAAACTTAATCACATATGATTTTAATTGTGTTTCTTATTTCATGGAAACACCACAAATTGCAATTTATTTTTTTTAACATGAGCGATGTATCAAAGTTTTGCATGACATTAGATATGTAAACAGCTTCATGTTGGTTTGTCACCTCAGGTTTCTTTACAATATTTGTCTTAACGTGATGAAATTTTTAAAAAGGCACAGAGTGGACATAGGTTTGTAAGGCAGTGTAAAAAGCGTAAATGTTGTTTATCAGCTTTGCTTCAATTGTAATTCAGTGTTGCTGTATTTCAGGCTGCACTCTCTTAAAAGTCATTTGCATGGTTGACATTCTCAAGGTGGAGTTTTAACAGAGCACGGTGAGAAATAAAACCGTCCGTCACGATGTGTCTGTTCAGGTTTATATTTCTGCCAGGCTCCTACGGCGCACTCACTGTGTTTTCAAATAGATATTTTATGGCTCTCAGAAATGTTTGTTTGTCTACTTAAAAGTTTTATCTGCCTTTCTGTTGATCCGTGGGTAAGCTTTCCCTCCAGGGTAGAGCAATAAAAGCCTCTCCTTGCCTTTTTTGTGATCTCACCAAGATTTACAAGTAGATCTACATTTTATCGGGAGGCTGAAAGTTGATTCTGTCTCTGCTTACAGATTAGAGTGTCTAAAGTCTTCCTACCTGGATGTGTCTTTGTGTGTTTCTGTCTTATAGAAACCAGTAGAGAAGAACTTTTGTAGCCTTTTCACACACCTGTAATCTTCTAAAAGTCCAAATAGAGGATGTATTTGTGATCCTGTGAGTTGGTAGGTCGTGACATTGCTTTGTTTGTGACCCCCAGGCTGCTCCCAGACCAGGCCGTGTTCTCCAGTGTGGTGGTGCTGCTGCAGTCGGTGCAGGAGCAAGGCGACTGCGTCCTTCCCCGCTCTGTTCTCCGCTCTGCCCTCTACTTGCTGGCAGTGACCCAAGACAGGAGCCCGAGTCTCGACGGGGTAACTCTGATCAGCTCACCAAACAGAGAAGGACACACCGTTGCTCTGTGTCAGCTGCAATGCACAACTTCATCAACTTTACTGTTTGGCTTTGTTGCACCCTGTTTAATAATGCCCTCAATGTTGAGGAAACGAGGCTTCAGGCTCTCGAACGCAAATGTGCGGGTCCTCAGATGTGAAAAAACATTTATATTTGCTGAATTATTTAATGTTTATACATTTAATGTGTTCAGAAGAAAACATTGCATGTATTTTTACTGATTTTTAGATGCAAAGTTTGAGTTTTGAGTTGAGCGTTTATCTCCAGTCCTCACCTTCTATCAGCAGCATAGCATTAAACCAAATTCAGCTGTTCTGGTAAGATTTTTTGTTTTATTTAATTTTTGTTACAGTAATTTATTTGTGTCCTTGAGCTGAAGTCGGAGTGCAGAGGGTCAAAAATATCTCACTACTTTTGTTGCCAGTGACGATACAATTGCGCAAATTGGAATCGTAAAAATAAATTTGCCACTGCTGCGCCCCAAAACACAATCAAATTAAAAAAAAGAAAGCAAAGTTATATTTTTGATAAAAGGTTTTTGCGTCAGGATGAGGTTGTTTTTCAGCCATTTTTAAATTTGTGTGTTTCGCAAAACGGAAAACACGTCTCTGGCAACGCGGCGGTTTGCAAACAGCACTAACGAGCTTGTTTGCATGTATCAGAGCCCTCACCGGTATTGCTCGGATAATAAAAATTTAAGTTTGTCCTTCGAATTGAATCCAAAAGTCTTCTCTAAAATCACTGACCACTATTTCTGTGTTTATATGCTTCGCTCCCAAGTACAAGAGACTTGTCACTACAATAACTGAAAAGATGCCACGTCTCCTCTGACCACCAACTTGTGGTTTTTTACCAAAAAGAAAAATCCTAGCACCGCTAAAATCCGACGATAAAACACCCAAGGGTGTAAATACTTTTTAAAGGCACTGTAAATGCAAATTTTCTGAAGAGGCTGGATTTCTTCGTTGTGAATTTGAGAATGATTGATTTTTCTCCAGAGATGATGAACAGTTCATTCAAACGTAGAACGATAGAGCTGTCAACTTGAATTGATTCAGACGTTCAAATGTGTGATATCAACCAAAGCAGTAGAGATTTCATAACGCGCTCTCTTTAAGGCACTACAGACTCTAAAGCAATTATTTCCAGAATACTACTTATTCCACCCTAACAATTGCATTTTCTAGCCATGTCAAATAGTCTGAGCTATAAATAGACTCCTTTTTTTTTTTTTTTTTTCTTCACTGACTCAGCTTTCACATTCTAAGGAAAATATTTAATCACTCTGCTTTCTTCGTGAAAGCTTTAATGGCAGCCAGCGCTGTCTTATTGTGTCCGGGTTTTATCAGTACGACAGTACCCAGACTGATGGATTTTCTGCGCACAGAGGCAAAGATCAGCAGAAGCTCTCTCTCTCTCTCTCTCTCTCTCTCTCTGAGATTTAATGTAAAAATCATTAAAGTGGAAGTCACGGGACGCTTATAATCCAAGATTAACGGGCGTTATCCGTCTTTATGCACAAAAATCTCCTCGTGCTTTCCATGATCCGGCACCCGTCTTAATCTTTAATATATTTTATCTAATGCTAAGCAGAACAAATAACATTATCTGGAAATGTGTGCTGCTTTATTTCAAAGAGCATTAAACAGCTTTTCTGAAAGTGCTCAGAGGTAAATATTTTCTGAAAGATTAGATTATGTCATATCAACAGGGTAGATATTAAATTAGGTTGCTCTGACTCAGCTCGGTTTAAAAGCAATCTCCCTGCTTTGTATATTTATCTAGAAGAAAGCCCTTCGCTTTCATCGTGCTTCTTTTTGCTGGTCTTTTTTAGGCTCATCTGAACTGCGTTAGCAAAGCGCTGTCGTCCTGCCAGAGCTTCGCCTCCCTCTACAGCCACCACCCTGCACTGCTCCACTTCATCTGGCGCTATCCAGAGCTAGCGCAGAAGTTTGGAGCCCTGGTCTTAGAGCTCTGGTTGGCCAAGAAATCGCAGACAGGAGCAAGGCAGGACCTGGTACATACACAATCTTACACCTGCAACTCACGATTTAATTAGTGATTGTTTAGTTAGCGATTGATCTATCGATGGCTTTTTTATTAATTAGAAAAAAAAAATCTGTACATTCTGCAGATTTGTCATTTAAGCTTTTAAACCTTTAAGTACTACGGCAGTCCAGCCAAATTTTCAGTACCGTAACTCCGTCACACATTTCACACTCTGAAAAATTTCACCGGTTTCTGAAAGGGGAGACTTTGCACTTTATAGCCAATTTCAGGTAATTACGGTAATTTCACTCCCGCCTTAGCAGGGAGTGAAATTAATCTGAGAGGCACTTTTTTAATAGATGGTAAATTGTGAAAATAACTTGTTAGATATTGAAAGTTCTATTTGTTATGGATAAATGGGAAAATATATATTAACTCACATGACATTTAAAGAACTGTTTTGTGTTTATTTTTGCTGAATGTGTACCGGGTGAAGCTAAAACTGCATCCACTTTGAATTTTGGGTACAATGTATTTACAGACAGAGGTTTTATTTTCACCTTGAATTGAAAAATGTGACTTATTTTTGGTACAGTTTTGGCTGAATTACTGGTCTGAGAGTGTTGGGGGTTTTTAAGTATGTATACTTCAGTTAACGTTTAATCGTAAAATTAGTTTACGATTATTTTGAATTACTGATTAATCACGATTAATCCAATTAATCGTTTCAGTCATACTCTGCATTGTAACTAATAATAAAATAACCTTAACAGTTATTAACCTTAATTTCTTTCCAGATCTTGCGATCAGAATAATGAAAAGTTTTATTGTCTGTTACTCCTGCCTGCAGGCAGGTGTGCAGGAGAGTAATGTAAACACAGGAAGCCAAACACATCAGCAGGAGCAGAATGAGGAACCAGACTGGGAAACCTCAGAGCTGCTGGCTCTGATGGAGAAATACCCAAATGTGATGCTGACCCTTTTGGTGAGATCAACAAATTATTGCTACAATTTAGAAATTTGTAAACCTTAAAATTAGCATTTAAAATCTATCCTGTTTTCCCGAGGTTCTATTGTAACTTCTTTTTTTACTGTAGTTATTTTTTAAAGGTGATGCTTCTACTGTTTCGCCTGTGTTCGTACAGGACATGGTTGTTCGCGGAGAAGCTCCTGTTGCAGAACATGTCCTGCATGTGCTAAAGGTTGTTTTGCTTGGACAAAGAGAGTTTGCAACAGATTGTGCACAAGTCTTAGGCCAGCCCTGCTGCAGGCTTTGCAGTGGATCAGCGTGGACAACGTGGCTAATGGACCGGGACAACGTCACGCTGCAGCAGGTACAAAATGTAATCCAAAATCACAAGCATAAAGATTTACACAGCCATTATAGAAATGGAAAGATAGCTGCTACATCATAATAAAAGACCATTTACTTGCTTCAGCGTATTGAAGAAAATATTGTAAAATATATCAGATTAAATCTATAAAACACAGCCGTCAAATGAAATTGTATTATACCTGCAGAAATAAAGTTGTCCTTCCTTGTAGGGCACTGATAAAACCAATAGATTAGTTCATTTAAAATTTATCCGCCTCAGTTGTAGATTCTGTCTTTTATGTTTCTTTTAGAACGAACACATCTTGGTTAAATTTCATCACTGATTCAAGTTTGCAAGATAATTTCATATTTAGTCAGACAAACTGCAATTCATCTCCATATATGCATCAGATAAACAGCTCCTGACTGGACTGACACGCGTAATACTCACACTGTCAGGTTTAATTAGTGTGTTTCTTCCTACAGGGGATATTTATTGCTGTAGATAAAATGTATTCTTCGCTGCACCACTCAACAAACACTAAAGGATTTCACTCATTGCTTCAGGGGGAGGTTTAAATCCACTCTTCGTAAGCGAGAATGTCATATTAAATATTGACTTGAATGATTTGCTTTTTTTTTCACTGTGGTCTGATTATGCAGCATGCATAACACACGACAAATTATTAGGTTAAGTGTTTGTGCACTGATGCAACCAGATTGTTGGGTTTCCAGTCAATGTTTATATAATGTGACATTTTCATGTAGAAATAGTTCTGGAAATGTTTCGTTCTTGATTTTAAGTCACAAAAAGCTGACATCTTGTAGTAATTTGAGGTTTTCTGCGTGTTTATTTTGGTTTCTGTGTTTTGTGGAGTTTCTATGTTGTACCCCTCGATTAGTGACGTTTGTCTCTTGTTTCTCCTGATGTCTCCTTATGTATTTATACTCGCCTGTGTTCCTAGTTCCTCGTCAGGTCCTTGTCAGGTCTTGCGTCTTGTATGTTGTTTGTTTACATTGATTTCTTTAGTTAATTTGTTGGATGAATTGTACGTTTTTGTCTCAAACATCTTGTTCTTAATGACACTCTACCTCGTGTCTCTATTACATTTTAAAGAAATGTGTAATAATGAAAATGGTTAATTGGGAAGTGTTAAACTTTTTGAATCCACTTCATATTTTGACATTAAACCGTCCTAACTCTTAGGATTAGCATAGGCTTTGTCACACTGTAGTAAACTTGAGTAATCATGCTACGATTTTATCTTGAAATATACATGACGACACTAAAATCTGTGTTCATTTTTTTTTCCCCACATATAAAAGTGGGCCGATAATAAGAAAAAAAAAAACAATGTTTGTGTTTTAATATTTATTTCTTTTTTAATGCAATTAAAATCACACGTGAGAAGCGATTCAAAAGAACATGCTGCACCATCGTCCTCCTACCACTTCCTGTCTTTTTCTTGCCGTTTTCAGTCCAGGTCGTTGATCGTGAGACTCGTGTGAAGGGGAAAAAAAAGTGTCTCCATTGCAGCTTTACGAAATAATATAATTTCAATACTGCTAAAAAAAAAAACACTTCATCCCAACACCAGAATTCTGGTTGCCATACAGGAATGTGACACCAAAGACACAAAGGTCAGAAGACTTTCTGAAATAATTATAAGGGTGGCGTGAAGTTCATGTGAGAATAAAAACTGGAAAGGTGTCTGCAAGGTCAGAAATGAAAATAAAAACTTTACTCCAGCTCCGACACAGCTGACTCAAATGGTGTGACGTCAAACGTCCAAGCTCTGCAGAGTAATGCTAATGAACCATCAGTGGATTCAGGTGGTGAGTCAGAAAGAGACCTAAAACATCGACTCCTGATCACAGACTTCAGGACACCACTGAGCTTTGACTTATCAGATATTCTATGAACTTGAGCTGCAGTTTTAAAATTATGGCAGCTGTGTGATGAAAAGTTGAATGGCGGCTGCTGGAGAGAAAAACACAACACACACACACACATGCACACACACACACAACACACACACACACACACACACACACACAACTGAGCCCTGCCGAGACAGCAGCAGAGCCGTAAAGTAATCTCGAAGGTTTAATAGGTTAGTTTGGCACGGCGTGTTTTTGCGAAGCTTAATGGAAAGCACTTAGTTTAATTATTTTCAAATCTAAAAGGAAAGTCTTAAAAAAATATCTGCTTATGTTTATGGATAATTTTCCCTGGCTAGTTTTCTTTACAAATAGTGGCTAATTATGCTGTAAGATAGGATACAGTATTTCTTAAGGTGTTTTCAGGTATATTTATGCTGTATTCTCTCTCTTGTATCTTTTAAACAGGTCATTAGAAAACATTTAAAAATGGATATACACAGAGTTAAGATTAATTCAAAGTTTTAAGTCCAGCTGCTTTACTAAAATATTATGTAGCAGGCTGTTTTCAAATAGCATTTGTAACATATATTCTTCCATAATGCTTTGAGTATTGGAATGAAATTAATAACAAAGCTATTGAAAGTTAGTGAAAATCATAATGAGAATCATAAAATGAAGCCTGTTCCATAATTCAATCTCAATAGAAA